GAAGCATCACGTATAAATTGTCTTATCTCTGGATCACAGGCAATTTATTATAAGTTAATAATGCAGCTTCCTGATTGTAATGCTCTAATAAAATTTTATTTTCTTGCATTTTAATTTCGATTATTGTTTAATCTTAAATGGAAAATTTCCACCTAGCAATTATTTCCAACTATTTTCTTTTTAAATTCAATGAAGTAAAAACGGCGTTAGGTTTGCGAAATTTCGCTGAAATTTTTATCAAATATTTTTATAATAAAGGCGAGCAATCGAACAACGTGTGTGTATGTGATGTTTATCTGGTGTTCATCTCTTCCTATGAGTATTTCTGGTAGTCACTCTGCATTTTTTGTACGCCAATGCATGTAGTAAAGTGGAAAACATGCTGTTAAGAAAATCAAAAACTATAATGCGTGGGTAGAATATTGTACAGTACAACATGCACTATAAACTTCTCAATAGATATTTATTGAGTTCTTCTTACACTCGAATATGTGAATCATAAAAACTGTATGTGCGTGTGCGTCCACACGTGTAGATGTAGGCAGCACACATGCAGTGCTTGCACGTAATTCATATTTTGAATACTGCCACTATATGATAATATTCTAAACAACAAAACACAACAGTAATTGTGACTTACTTCTGAAAACATAAATTTCTAAAAATGTTTTTGTTTTCGTTTCGATGCATAATGAATGAGTCATGGGTTTTTGTTGTTTGTAATTTCGCCGTTCTGTCTTATCGACATGAGTCGTTGTATTGGTTGCCGGATTTGAATGATACAGAGTGTTGTTTGGTTTTGTTGTGGTAATAATAACAAGTTTGCTATTTGCTGTGGATGGCTTGTTGTTTTATAATTGTTTTGTCATATTGTTAAATGATGTCATGTTGTTAGGTGTTGTTGTCATCTTGTTATTGAGTCTCTAAATTGCTATGTTGTTGTTTTTGCAATATTGTTGTTTGCGTTATTTCCATCTTGGTATTTTTCTGCTGTGTTGATTTGAATAAATTGATTGAATATGTTACGATCTTGACGCCTTATGATCGCATGAAGTTTTGTTTACATCAAAGTCGTTTTTGTTGTGTTTTGAGTTGTTTTTTGTGGTTTTTAAACATTCTTTATAACGTCGCTATGGAAATATTCATTCAATTTTCTCATCGCCGTTAATCAAATTTTCTTGTTTGCATAGATAGAATGAATGAAACGTGCAGATGCAGATGCAGGAGGAATGAGTTATTGATATGAGCTCTTAGAGACACTATTTATCATCTGGTGTTGCAACGTAGGTAATGAAAACTGATGTAGCTGGGAGGGAATTGGCATAACAGAGTTTTAATCACCGCGATAATATTAATAGCAATGTTGCTGCTACTACTACTACTATAAATACGACTACTCCTACTACTACTACTACTCCTACAGCAACAACAACAACAACTACTATTACTACTACTAATACTACTACTACTACTACTACTACTACTACTACCACTACTGCTATTACTACTACTAATAATACTACTTCTACTATTCTTTTTATACTACTGCTTCTTCTACTGTTGATGCTGATGATGACGACTGTGGTGATGACTATTATGATGGTGAAAAAGTGAGAATGACTGAAGGAATAGATAAGGAAGTTCTGTACATAAACGAACCAGTAAAACATAAACATTTTGTTTGGTCTTTAGTCAGCACCATAACAACATCCAGCTCGTATCTTATCTGCTTATATATGCGTACCATACGAACGCTCATAAGCTCATACACGTTTTTCATCTTTTTGAACATTCACACAAACACACAAACACGCACACTTCTCCACATATGCACGTACATAAATACAGGCACAGGCACACACACAAATATAAAATCGCATTCATTAGTTTATAGGATTCGTGATGCTTCTTTTAAAAATAAGATGACGATGAATGAGGACGATGATGTTGTGGTGACGACAATGTTGATTGAACTTCTGATAAAAGGTGATTTTGTTGGTGATCATGTTGCTCATTCTTTAATGGATTTTATTCGTCATAATTTGTAGAATAATGGATCATAAAAATATTAAATAAAACAACCAAAAAGTAAATAGATAAATAACAAAAATGAAAAACGTGACGACAACATAAGACGGAAGGAAAGAATATTCCTGTTTGGGGACGACGATGTTCATAATAATTAATGATGTCATTTTTCATGGAATCACTGAGGTGACGGACAAACAGTGAACGATGGCTCGAATGTATTGGATGTATGTCTCGCGCGCGTTTTTTGCGCTAAATTAATGAGGGTTTTTTTTGCATTACAATATTTGTCAAACAAAAGATTTTGTGTGTGCAGAGTTTGATTATATACGATTTTATTACTGCTGAGTTTATCACACATACACACACCACACATACACACACACACACACACACGCACAGAACACACGTACGCACATATTCGCAGAAATCTATAATATTCATAAAAATCAGGAGTGAGCAAACGTTTTGCTGTTAAGGGTCGCATTGAGAACTGTTTTACATTTGAAGGGCCGCATATGTACTTAGCAAATTTTTTTTACTCGGGGAGAAGAAAAATGTCTTGATGTCGACTTTTTTGCGTTTTTGCGAACAAGGCTCGCAGTTTGCCCACCCCTATTCTAAATATAAATATATAAATATTAAAACAAAATATATATTAATAGCAACCATATTCATGGAAATTGTTTCTAATTATTGTATAAACAACCATGTAAAAATGAGCATTTCGGCGGGCAGCGTTTAAAAAGAGTGGGCGAACGTCGAATGGAAGCGCCTAAAAATGTAATAAAGACAAGCCTGTAAAAAGTAGTTAACTGCTTTTTATTGAAATTAGAAACATGAATATTATATGGTGCTATATCATATTGTGTTATAGAACGAATAAAGCGTATACACACACACACACACACACACACTCACACACACACACAACACACACACATAAACGCACACACATAGGCAGACAAAAACATAAACGGACACACCTAGCGATATAGCCAACATGATTGTAAGAGATTTAGAACATTCGGCACTGTGAAGATTGAATATCCAATCATTAAGACCATCAAGGAATAACAAATCATTTGAAATATCACTCAAGTGTGAAAACTGTCGGCTTGATTAGATAAGGTTTTCATTCATTCGTTCGAGTGTCGGTTAGGGATAATATAAACACAGATTAATAAAAATAAAAAAGCATCATCTCTTTCGATTAAAGACGTCAAAAAATACTAAAACAGCAATGACGTAATGACGATTACAGCGACGACGATGATGATGATAATAATGTTGATGGTGATGTGATATCTGTTAAAGTTGATAAATATCATGAGCTTATTTTGCTCACAGCTAATTTTTTATTTGAATAGTTACTTAATTTTATTTTAGTTTACTTGATTTGTAATAAATATTTTCACGATAAACTTTTAAATTTTATTGTTATTTTTTTCACTCATTCCATTTGTTTATTTTTTTTCGAACAATTTTAAAAATATTAATTAGAGTTGTAAATAAAGAAAAAGTAACGAATGCTTCAGCGTTTTAATAAATGAAGATAATGGACATTACAAATGTTGCGAACGCTTGAGCTGTCACTAGCTTTTGACCGACCATCATAAATCAACAAATTTTATCTAATTAGCTATGGATGGGTTTTACTAGTTGTATGTTACCTGTCTTTAATATTTGGTTTATTAGTTTGTTATATGTCGTTTTAACACAAGGCGGTGTGGTTACTCGGCTATTCCATAAAGAGACACAAAATATGAATTAAACAAAATGCAACGACTCAAAACTAGCCCAGTGACGTCGGCAAAATAAATAATAAATAAGTGTGGATGAAACTTTTCTGTATCGGTTAACATGCTCCACGCTCCGAGATTATATTCTATTTTTTGTATATATAGTCTAACTTTTGCGTTAACATTTTTATGTAAGTAATGCAGTGAAAGCTGCTTAAATGTTATTCTCTACTTGTAATATAAACTTTCGTGCCACAAAGGCCGTCCTATTCGCACCACAGCACACGACGCACATGCACATTACGCATGCACACGCAGGCACCGCATTATACGCGTATGATAGTGTTTGAGTTTCGAAATGACAGTGTTTGAACCATACCATCGCGTAATAGCAGCGCGAGACTTGACCCTTCTACCGACTGAGCTAACTCGGCGACTAGTTTTTTGATTTGGCTCATTTTTTGAAGTAGTTTAATATCAGTTTTTAAAAATGTTTTGTTTTTAAAAAATTTTCTTCAAAGACTTCTAAAATTTTGTACAAATTTGTACAGTTGAACCATCAACTGCTAATGATAATTCTCTGAACAAAAGTGAAGCAGAAGCTAATTTTGTTGCAACAACAAGACAGCCAAGAGAAATAACAACAGTAACAACAACAGTCAGGCAACTTTCCCAATGTTTCTACTTGATGAAATTGTACGATGAGCAAGACCTGCCGAACGAGTGCTCTGAATGGAAGGACGAAAAAAACAATCAAGTTGCTTCCAACGTTATTAAAGTCCAACCTAACAATTTAAATTTTAAATTCACCTGCGATACTCAGAATCATCATTATGAAAGATTCACTGCTGTTATTGGTAAAATTATGAACACAAACACAAAGCCACAATCACGCACCAATAAACAGACAAACAAGAACACGCATACACACACATACACAACACACACACACACGTTATTAATTATTACTTTATTAATCTTATACAATTGGGTTGTCTCATGACAATAAGAGTTTGGCAGAAATGTTTCCACTTTAAACAATTGAAATATTTCTATGCAAATAATAAGTTTTTGACAAAAGATACATTTACTAATACAATTTTGCTATTTTCTGAAACCACCAATATAGAAAGTGATATAAAATGCAGTTACAAGCCATACTTCCCAAGAAACTTAGTTGAAGTTTTGTGTACGATAAACTATCAGACCAAAGATGAATTGTATTTAAAAATGAAAATTCAAAACTTGCAAGTCAAGTCAAAACACACCAAGACGTTTTTGAAAAAGACAATGGTAAGTTTTTGAACAACTCGTCAGAAAATAGTAAACAACTTTATTTTGTACGTGTTTTCAGAGCGGTAGCCGTGTAAAGACATGCGATGAAGATTTCTTTCAATGCATCATGTAATATTGTTTTATGCAAAATTTTGATTAATTTTGTATTTTCAAGAATTCAAAACACAATTCACATGGGTTCAACCACTTTTATTAAAAATGTTATTATTATAGCACAGATTTTGATCTTGGCTGCTAGTCCCGGCTACCTCTCTGTGTGTTTTGCACTATAAACCACTAACTAAATATGCTTCTATGGCTTGTGTAAAATTGAAAATTTGAACTCATGTAAGTTTGAAAATTGCTTCGTTTTTGATGTATCGTTTAGCACCTATTCATATACTTACAATGTTTTTAGCGTCATGTTGATTCCTCTGAGCCTAGGAAGAGTTTAATAGACCTTTAACCTTTTTTATTTAGGAAACAGCGTTTGTCTTCAACTTTTTTTTCTTCACTAACTATCATATCGTTGAATACACTATGAGTTTGACTTGGAATCGTAGCAAAGAAATTGTTGAATGTGGAGAAAAAGTTCGCAAACTGAACTTTAAAACGGAGGGTAAATTCTATCATATTTGAACTCAAAATTGATAAACAAATACCAAAAATAAATTAAAATTGACATTCGTGTTAAACACCACTGTCACAAGAAAGAAAAATATTTTTTGTTTTTTAGATGTAAAGCCATCAGCTCCTGTCTTCACGTACGACGGTAACTTCCGAGAGTTCAAGGTTTGCGATTCGATTACCTGCGAGAGTAAAACTGGAAAAGAAATTGAATACTTCATGACCTCCACTAAACCATTCGACCAATGCGGTAAAGAGCCTAACACCATTAGGTTGAAACAAGTTGGAAAGCAAACAGTGACGTGCAAAGCTTCTGTATATCTTGGTAAAAAAGAAGATTAAGATTTTTTTAATTTCCTCTCGCCCTGATAAGAAAAATGATTTTAAATGTAAAAATGTTCAATATAAAACAGCAGGCATACGATACTACAACGGTTCAACGAAGGACCTAAACGTAAGAGGTTGACATTTATGTTTAGATGAAGATATAAAAATTGTTTTACGATGCGTATTCAGCTGTAGTAACAAAGGCTTTAAATTTGTAATTTTTTAAAATACATTTGTAAAACTGCAATTTTAATTGTTACAGCGTCTGATATCGAGCAATGTCTTCCATGTTCTGGTTAATAATGAATGTTTCTAAATTGTATAAATCGTAATATTTACATATCTTTATTGCCAGCATTCATGTCAACAGTTCAGCGGAGAGATTTTGTGCCAATTGACCGTGTGGTTTCGATAGCCTTTGGAAGTGTTTTTGGTATCTTTATAGCTATAATTTTCTTTGGTCTTTTTTTGTCAGCACGGAATAAACTTCAAACAAGTAAATGCAACTGAGTAATAACACGTTTAGTTATTCGTAATTGAATAGAACGCGATGTAAAACTAGATATCGCGAAAAATAGTTTTAAAATAAAATTCAGCTAAGTAGAGATGAAATAAAAATTAAATATATGAACGTTTGCAGGTTTGAAGGAAGCAAACGACATAAGAACGCTTCATCAAGATTCTTCAGAACACCCAGCAATTGCGTGAACGAACTTCCAACAGTTGTGCACTTCGCAAATACACTACTCCGAAATTAAATCGCATTTATTATAAACTATACTGAAGTATTTGTGAAAGTATGAAAACATTTTACGCACGCATTTTTTACTCTGTTTAAAAACTGAAAAAAAAACGAAGTAAAAAAAACTAATAACATTTATTGGTGTTGATAAAAGAAGGATTGATAACAATGACGATAAATGTGACAATAAAAAATTTATCTAAATTTTACAAAATAGAAAAAAAATACATAAATGTATATTGATCACGTCGTCAAATACAAGCTGGCGGCTACCTCTTCTGATTTCATCTCACAAGATTTTAACCTATCCCCTGTTTTAAAAAACGTGAGACATTCATAAATAACTATCAATAAAATAATAGAAAATATAATGAAATAATAAATAAATAACCAAAAATACAGATTATAATCTGTTTGAAACTTAATTTGGGAATTGTTGAGTCGTGAGAGGAACAGAATTGTGAGATGGACAAGGAAATAAGAATATAATAAAGAGTGTGATAAGATCGAGTAAAATGATATCTAAGAAGTATTTAAGTGAAGTAAAAAAAGATACATATATTTACACATATTTTAATACATACATTTTAGATCAATGAGTCTAAGTTTATAAACAAATTTACTTATTAATCACCAAATTTATAAATAAACAAATTAATTAGTCACTGATAAACAAATAAGCTTACTTAATGACAAGCAAATAGAAAAATTCACTCACCAGCTCATTAACATAACTAAAACACTTACTTATTAATTCTCCCATAGCTCTTTGTGTTCTTCTTTCCAACTTTTCAAGTTTCTTGGCAACATCTCGTTTCAAGTCCCAGTCAGGTTTCCTAGGCGCTAGATTCAGGAGGTCCTGCAAATTTTAAAAAAGATATCTCCAGTTATTAGAAGATACGATGTGATACAAAGTCTTACACCCCGGAAATGTAAAGATACAAAACAAACAGTAAAGTATGTCACGGATTCTGAGAAGAATTATAATAAATGTGAAATATTGAAGAGCATTGAACAGTATGGTAAACAGAAAGAAATGCACCCAAATTTTCCTCGAAATTAATAGTAGACAAAAGATTTATGTTCAGCATGAAAATTCCTAATAGGCAAAAATTTTCTGTCATCATTTAAATATTTTCACATTTTGTAAATTGCTTTTCAATTCGATTAAGATTACTTCAAAAATATCAGTTTCAAAAATCTATAATTCTTTGAGGCATTGTTCTACCAGACATTTTGATCACACATCCAATAACAAAGTATGCAACTATGATGATGTATAACGTTCAGATATAACAAAATTTCGAACCTGATGTTCCAAATTAACAATTCATTTTAATGTACCATTAATAAAATAATAAAAGTGAATGCAATGAAAAGTGAACTGACCACTTCTTCGACAATGTTCGTCTGTTGGGCATCAATCAGCTGATCTTTCACTTGTTCCTTGACTATTGGTGGGTAATAAAGTGTTTGTTGAATTTAAATATCCGTATAATACATCACTATATATTGAAGGTTAAGTAAATGAAAATGATTACATCAGAACAATTATGAAAAGAGTTAATAACTGTAGCAACACGGTGATGACATATATGTACGTACAGTCGTGTGGTTGGTCTGGATAGTACAGTCTTTGTGGTTCGAAAATTTAAATAGAGGAATGTTATGTAAGCGGTATGTCAGAACTGCATAATAAAGAAGAAAAAAAAAAATTCAACCATACTTCAAATGTCAGATTATTCCTAAAAGGTATTTATCACTCGGATCGGATATTCGTGCTAAATTATCAGACGTGTTTAAAATATCTTGTGTAATGCGGAGCTAAGAATGGAATTTAAATCCTCGAGATTAGTTGCCTTGTGTGTAAGCAGAACAAGAAACTTCAATTACACAAAGTACTCGAGTTGCGTCTGAATTTTTAAAGTGATGCAAACATCAATGTTAAAGTATGTCATTTATTCTAGATTGAAAAATTTAATTATAGTAAAAAGCGACAAAAAACTAGAGTCGAGGAGCACAAATATAATATAATTATTTATTCTTCATTGATCAATAAAAAATTTTCACTCAAAACTAAAATGGGCAGACATTTCTGTGTGCATTGTGTCCTTCTATAATCTTCTATAATCATTGACATTACTGAACGTTGAAAAGAAGTGTTTCATGAAGTTAGGATATAAAAAATGTTGTGGGTAATGTGCGAGAATGACCTGGAATTAAAATCTTACTTTTGCATGTAGGTATATTAATTATATATTTCATCGATTTTGCAATAAAATAAATCATCTAGGAAATTTGAAATGTGAAAAAAAGGAGAGAATAAATGCAGCAATAAATCCTGAGCAGTGCCAGCGCAAACGTTCGACAACACAAATTTAACCTTCATTCAGCGGAAGGAGAAGAAATTGAGAGAACAGAGCCCTGGTATTGCGTGTGGAGAGCATACGTACATACAAACATACATGCATGTATACATACACAGATACAAACATATACCTATATACATGCGTTCATACATACAGGCTTACATACACGAATACAAACAAACGAACATAGACTCAAACATACATAGGTGGATAGAGGCTGTATATAAGAACGCTGCCGTTCCGTGCAATGCAGATTAGGAAGGCAATTGTCTGCTGGCGATAGTCATAAACGCTTAACGACTTCATTGTTTTGTTTAATAGAAATCCAACAAATCATTCCTAACTGTGTTTTTATTCTCGTGTTATTACACTTTCGTTTTTATAAAAACAACTTTTAGAAACAATAAATATAACAAAATTTACAAATAAATTATTAAGTAGGTTACATTTTTTTGAAATATCATTTGAAAGATTATTAAATTACTTAAATAAAACAGAAAGATATATTCTTTTTTCATGGTGGATGTAATCGGTTAGTTTTCGTATGGTTTTTTGGTAAAATTGAATTTCTGTGTGACATTTTAATAATTAGTTTTCACAAATTTACAACAAAATATTTTCTTAACAAAAACTCTTGTAACAAACAAACAAAAACATATAGATTAAAATCTATAATGTTAACTTTGATGAAAGTAATGTGAAATAAATAACTTTTTAATTTTTAATCTTTTTGTAACAACAATTTGATTATGTGAAGATAAATATCCGGTCCATACCACAAAAAGTACAGTGATGAGAAATATTTCAGATGGTTATCTTTGGGCTGCAGTTTAAACGATCGCGATAAGCATCGAGCACTTAATTTCAGTTCTCATCCAGTTCAATGTCGGCATCATTTAAAAGAACACGATTTGATTAGATAATTTCGACATCGCAATACGTATAAAACATTTATCTAACAACAAATCAACAAACATAACATCAACAACATCAACGAACAGCGTAAATTCCAGCACAATGACAACTTAAAAACAATAACTACATCAATTACATCAGCAAACAAAACAACAAAAAAACTGAGTCCCACACCCAAAAATTGCCATTTACATATTTGCAATGGAATCAGTGTCCTCACGAGAAACAACGACATCCTTGCTACCGAGTGTTACTCAAGTTATTGGTTGGTGGTTCTTACTCTTCGTCAATGGAATTATTTTTGTGGTCGAATTTCTCGGAAACATTCTCGTCATGCTAGTTGTCTTCAGGTTTGTTTGTCATTTAATTTATTGTGAACAATTCAACAATTAATTGCTACGTGAAGAACCCTTTTAAAAGAACAACTCTTAATTAGACAAAAAAAAAAAAAAAAAAAAAAAACAAAAAGCCAGGTCATAGTAAAAGGTCTCAAGTGAAAAGAAGAAACATCTGAAAATTTAAGCCATAAAAGTAAAAGCTAAAATAAGATAAAAATAAAATCGCAATAGAAAAATAAAAAAATATCAAGAATAGAAATAAATTGTTTCTAAGGCAAGTTTTTAACATTATTAATTCAATTTTATACTAAATAAAATTGCATCTAAATAATTGTCAAACAATTTTGTTTTTTTGAAATTAAACTAAGAGATAAATGTAAGAAAAAAATACGGAGCAAATATATTGAATAGAAATTCGGGCATGGCTGGCAAGCAAATTAGCATACACAGAGAATACACGTGATGACGGAGCAAGAACCGGCACTTAGCAACCTTTCAACAGAGCAATTTACTGATAACGATCATCAGTATGTTCACCGTGCTACTTAGTAGTCCAAAGGAAGCCACTTCTTTTAGCATGCAGTAAACCATCTGGTGATGAATTTGTTAGGTGTAATTAGTTAATTGACGCACGCGTGTAATCCTTTTGATAAGAACATTCACGAAGTATAATTCGAAATTGAAATTTTCAAATATTTATATTTGAAAATTTCTGAAATGATTTTAGTTTTCATGTTTATTTTTTAAAAATTTGCATTGCATGTCGCACTTTTGAACTTTAATTCGTTCGAAATTTTGTTTTCAAGAATTTGTTAAATATAACTTACAATTCTGATCAAACGACTAATTTAATAACTATTTTTTGAAAATAATTTGATAATAATTTGATATTTTATAAAAATGTTGAAAAATTTCTCGAAAACTAAAATCATCGGTCGGGTCGGGTAATAATTATTACTGAGTTGATATTGCTATGGGATCTAATTGATCGAATGATTTAGCCAGCGTGTGGTGTTAGAACATTTTTCATTAGCCCGTTTTTAACAACATGATAAAAATTTTGTATTTTTGGTCTGTATTGATAACGTAAAATGGCAAAAACCAATTTGTGAAATAATTCATAATACAAAAATATTTTGCTTTTTGTTATAGATTCTATAAATTGTAAAAACATTGAGATGAAATAAAATGTGAAAAGTTCTGACGTAAATGAAATAAAATAATTTGTTGGCTTTTAATTGCAGAGAAATTTATTTTTTCAATTTATTATTAAAACTATTTTGATGAAAAACTTTTTGAGAGTTATTTTTTAATCAGGGTTTTCGAATGTACTTTGAAAAATTTTAAATTCTATGAATAATTTCGGTCATTGTTTTAATTTATTTACCATAATCTGGAATAAATGCAAAAACTATAAAGCATTTATAAACGGTCTAAACTAAACATACACAATCAGCACGAGCAAAGCATGGAAAGCGTATGCAATACAAAGAAAAAACTTCTGCAATATAAAGAAAAAACTTCATGCCACTTATATCACACGTAAATACGATTTAGCTTTAATAAGAGAGAAACACGCAACCGCAGTAACACAAGCCTGCATGGCATTATCATGTACACACGCTCACATCCCCACAACCCTAATCACACAACATACAAGCGTATATCTCATATCGGTCTCCACCAACTACAACTGTCCTTTATAGATTCCAGCAGATGAGAACGGTGACCAACTTGTACCTTTTCAATCTAGCTGTTTCGGACTTTTTGTTCCTCTGTGGGCTGCCAATCGCCATGACAACTTTCTACTACAGGAAATGGGTCTTTGATGGAGTCACGTGCAAACTTTTTTACTTGCTGACGTCATCAAACTGGTTTGCTGAGGTCTTTACAATTACTGTTCTCAGTGCTGACAGGTTGTTTGTCTGTTTTGTTAATTTGTTTAGATGTTTGTTTGTTTATTTGTTTTATTTAACTTTTTTTGTTCTAAATTTGTTGTCATTGTTTGTTTGCTGGCGAGATTGTTTGGTTTTTTAAAAGTTATCCGTTTTTTCTCTATGTTATTTACCGGCTGTTTAATATTTACTTGTTTATTTGTTGTAGAACGTTTGTAAGATTTTTTGTGAATTCGTTACGTGTTATTTCATTTCAAGTATTTTTGAACTAGACTGAAGAATGTGTATCGCAAAAACTTGCCGACTACTTGTTTGATGCTATCAATTATTTAGGCAGATTGTTTCAGTGGCTTATTTGGAAAATTTTTCATCGCTTCGTTTAACAAGTTGCAAACAAATGTTATTCAAGATACGCTTGTTGTTTAAATTTGTATGAATATTTTTTTTAAATATCACAAATTATTCCTCAAGCCATTAGTTTTTCCATTTTTTTTTATAACTAAGTTAATTCAGATAAAAACCCAAGAGTTCTATCATCTTTTTTTTCAATGAAAGTTTTTAGAAATAAGAAATTATTTATCAAACTTAAAAACGAGCAACTTCTCAAATTCGTTTTATTTTCTTCGTAAGAAAAATTTTTTAAATTGTTTACAGTTTTATGTCATTAATTTAACCAAGTTTTTTTTCAAGAATTGTTAAACTAAAGTTACGAAAATAAAAATTCACATTCTCGTGAAAGTTCTATGATGTTTTTCAACATTTTACCAAATGTGTTTTGACAAAATTTATTTATTGAATACGCTCTATTTTAAACTTTGAACATTAAAAAAATAATTGTATAAATTTGTGGAATGTTTTAAAATTAATTGAAACAAGACATATATGAGTTGGGAAAAAATTACCATGAGCAGGCACTAAAATATTTGTTGTCATATCTCATACAAAATTTTTTACCATCATTTTATTTTAAAAATTTTGCAATGATAAATGTTTGCGACAGTGTAAAAAGAGTTGTACCATCTGCAGACACGTCTAAATTGCTCTATGACGCGTGTCTCACGAAACGCTAGTTGTTTATGGCAAACAAAAAATTATTTTTTACATTTTTTACAGAAATGGAAAACACAGCACGTTTTTTTCCAATCAGATATATTTCTAGTGACCCTTTATTTCCATTTCAAAGTATCAGCCTGACCTATCCGAAATTTATCCACTGCACTTCAGATGCAAACTTTTGTCTTGCATTGTGATAACATTTGAAAATTTAGAAGAAAAATTGTTTAATTGAAGCATCAAAATTTTTTAGTCAGATTTGAAATGCGTGAAAAACTCACATAACAGTAAATAAAATGTAACAATGTAAATAAAAACTACCAAAAAAATTTTTTAATAACAAACAACCACCCAATAAATTATTGCTCAACAAATTTGTGGTTGGTAACAATGGACCCCTCTGTGCGTAATTTGCTGCCTGCACGTTAAACCCTCGTTTAAAAAAGCCGGCATAGAGAATTTGTGCCATAATTGCGTACAGAATGATGAATAATTTAAAGAAGCAGAGCGGAGTGACTGCCATAAAATCTATATAGATTATGTAGAACATAAAATTTTTTAGAAAAACTTTCGAGGAAAAAGGCGACCAATTTTTACTCTTTTGAAAAAGTGAATAAATCCAATCAAGCACGTAAAATCTGTGAAAGTTTTTTGAAGATGAAATCAACTTTTATAAATAGACTATTTTTGTTTTTTCCAAAAAATTGATTTTTCTGTGAAGCAAAACTGATTTGAAAAATTTTTTCGTTTGGCTGTATGTAATCTTCTCCTCAGTATAAATTTTACATTCTGTTTCGGGATTAAAATCGAAGACAGCAAAGCATAAAATGGTTTCAAAGTTTCAGATGTAGTGTTAGCCATGCAACAACAAAAATTTGTTTATAAATAATAAGGTAAGACGAAGAAATTGGCGAGCACTGGAACAACAAAGCATGCTTGCAGCATACAATACAATTGCTAGTGCGTTAGGTCACATTAATGCAAAAAAAATTTATTTGAATTTCATTTCCAATTTGGACCAAATTAATTTTTATTTTTCTGTAGTGTTGAGAAAGTGAAAAAAACTGTAAATACTTTTTTAAATTCATTATTATTAACAACGAAATAAACCTAAATTTTCAATTTTAAAAAGCTGATTATTGGGTAGAGGAACAAAACTCAATTGATCTTCTTAGGATATTCACTTTCTGAACCTGTTTTCATTAAATTTTTCTAAATTAACTTTTAAGACGTTTCCAAACTTTAGACCTCCGGGTTTATCCTGCTTGAAAGAATTTTTTTTTCAGATAAATTTCAATTTAATCAACTTCAGTTACGTTGAACGCTCCAGCAAATAGTCACATGATGTTTGTCGGTTTTTCTGTCTGTCTGTCTTTCTGTCTACCTGCCTGCCTGTCTGTCTGCCTGTCTGTCTGCCTATCTGTCTGTTTATCTGTTTGTTTGTTGATTGATTTGTGTGTTTATTTTCAATCTCAAAAAATGATTTTATCTTAAAAATACGAAATTTTTTTACAAAATTATGGTTAATTATTTAGAAAAAACATTTGATCGTTAGATCCTTTAATACTGTTGACGTACATAATAAACCAGGATTTTGTAGAGGGACGTAATTGTGATTTACACAGATGTACCAGAAAACGTAAATGGCGGCCTTTTAAGTTGTATCGCATAAAAAATCATTGTACATCCTGCGGTAACGAACAAGCTTCAAACGGGTCATTCTAATAATCGAACAATGCTGTGAGAGCATATCATAAAACTGTCCAATTGAACAAGCAATCAAACACCAATTAAACTGGTTTTTTGCATTTCACTGAGATGAAATTTGAATTTTAAGGTTTTTAATAGCGCTTGTACATGTACGTACATTACAATTTTGTGCAGTATAACTAATTTTCATATAATAATTTATATTTTTTGATGTCGTTATCACAGATAGCCATTGTTTTGGAATATTTAACTGTTGATTAATTTTTCACATTTTTCGAAATGCCAACAAAACATTTTTTGATTCGTCATTTTTGTTGAATCAACCAACTGCGTTTTTCAAAATTTGATTTTTCTACAAAAACTTCAAAAAGTATTCAAATATACATAGCTAAGATTGTTTTTGGCATACAAATTATGTTTGCAGTCCTGACGAACGTCACAATCATTTCATCAACTGACACCCCAACCATTCACCATCACTTCATATATCATCACTTCATCATCATTTTTCAGCATTCAAACACCGTCAAATAATTTTCACCAGCATCAATATAAACTTAATGAGACATTGAAAACATTTGAGAGCCAACTCGCACGGACGCATGTTGCAGGTACCTGGCAGTTTGCAAGAGCAGTACATCGTCGCGTTACAGGAGCAACAAGATAACTCACACCGTGTGTCTCGTCGTCTGGATCGTGTCTGTGGTCGTCATGCTGCCGATCATCATCTACGCCACCACCACCATCGAGGACGATTACGATGACGTCACGTACAACAGCACAACATCTCATGACATCATCGGCTGGGAGGAAATTTCCAACCTTTCAAATTCTATCGAAATAAATTATTACGCAGAAGAAACTACTACATCCAGAAATCTTTCATCAGATGTTCACATTACTGCCTGATCGACCTGCCGAAAATTGAGCCTCTGAGTAATCAGCAGGCCTTTGTGTTGTACTCATTCGTCTTGGCTTTCATCATTCCCGTTCCGCTTATCAGCTTTTTCTATTTCTCAGTCCTCAAGGAGATGACCAAAGCGGGTGCCAAAAAAACAAGCAGCCAAGGTTAGTCATGCTTTCATTAAGTGAATTCACATGTAGGCTAGTGATTGCGCGTGTGTGTGCGAGTGCTTATCTGAATGCATGTGAATACGGGTAGGTTTTAGTGTGAATAAGGGTGTGCGAATGTACATGGATCTGTGAGTGTTGTGTTAGCTTGCACACGTTTTTTCAGGTTTGTCGTCCAAGTCAGATTAAATATAATTATTAAACATATAGGGTTTGATGAAGATTAATTGATCATTTGTATTGTCTTATGCTAATTCTGCTAAGCTATATAAGCCCATAAAAACGAAATTATTGAGTTTGTTTTTCTTACGTTCTCTCTTTTCCCACAATAATGAATGCTCAATTTTGTTCATAAATTGAATGAACTTGTTCCGAGCACAACGTTCAACAGAAAGCCTCTCTAAAGCTAATGTCGCAAAACAAAGATTTCAAGTAGACAGATCACGTTGATGAGTTTCAAACTTATTTTAAATAAAAAAGTTTTTTTAAATGAACAAGATAAATGAGTTTCTCAAAAAATCATATGTTCAAAAAATTTTTTGTAATTTAATTTTTATTTCTGCAGATTTTTCAAAAATATTGAAATATTGTTACCATCATTTATTTTTCCATTTTTGAAAAAAAAATTTAGTTGAGCAACTGCCTTGAATGTATTTCTTCAATTCAATTTAAAAAATATTTCAAAAATAATTTCACCATTGGATTGACAAAGAAAAAAATAATAATTTTTTTTACTCCAATCAATTGAACTTTGACCCGTGAATGAAACTGCTACTGTCTGCTCCAATATACCATTTCCTCGTTTGTTTGTTTGCTTGTTGGCTGCCTGTCCGTTAGATGTGTATCGATCAAACACGACGTTGTGGGAGATAGCATGCTGTGCTTCGCTTTGGTCCATGTCACAATCTTCTCCACTCCAACTAAACAAAAAATATCTCTATCACAGCAACTCAAACAACTGTGAAAAAGTAAATATAGTAATAAATCTTCAACTCCCAAGCCAACGGTTGCATCTCTAGCTACTGCAGCATCTACTGACAAACCAACTACTTTTACGAGCTCTGTTGATAATCATCAATAAGGTTTTTTTCAAATAAAGTATAGTTTTTGACAAAATTTTGGTTAATCTTTTTCAGAGCATTAAAGTTATAACGAACAAAAAGCACTTCTTTAATGTTCTAATGCTTTAAAAATATCACATCACGTTTTAATTCCCACGTAACATGCACATATCAGAGTCATATCAGTCTCAAGCTGCATGTTCGTTCGTAATCGTGTTTCAAATGTTTCATCAAGTAAAGTCTTATTTCCCTGTACGATCGTCTAGGCAACACAAACAGGATAATGCGATATGTTTGTCTGTACAGTTACGTAGTTAAGGGCATGTATTCATCTGTTTTTTAATGAAAATAATTGCAGTTGTATCGATAAATGTCTGTTTCTATTTCGTGTTTCTGTCATTATTTATCAATTCAAATGTCATTAAAGAGATTTAAATTTGTCAAAACATTTTATACATGTGTATGCAAACATGTCTTGCAGTAATATTTTGAGTTATTGAATTATGTAAACGTTTATAAAATACTAAACGGCAATGTTAAAAATCAAAAATAAATTTTCCAACTGAAAAATTTTAATCTAATGAACTTCTCAAAAAAACAGTGAAGAGATCGAAGAAGAAAGTGACGACGATGGTCCTCTCAGTCATAACGCTGTATGTCGTCTGCTGGCTGCCATACTGGATCTTCCAGTTTGTGGTAGTCTTCGTAGGGGTGCAGATGCAGCTGATCGCCATCATTCTCAACATTCTCTGCTACGCCAATAGCTCCATCAACCCACTCCTCTATGCCTTCCTCAGTGAGAGTTTCCGCAAAAATTTTCTCCAACTGTTCGCCTGTTTCAGATGTCGGGAAAGCGCTGGAAATCTTCGAAACAACAGAAACATTAAAATCCACAATAATAACATTAATAATGACAACCCCAACAACATAACTAACAATGATAACAACAACAAAAATAACAATGTTCTTAGTTACAATGATAATAACAACAATAATAATAGTAATATTAACAGTAATACTAATGAGCGAGACATTGATGATAACACCATTAACAACAACAACAACGTCAACAGCAGCAGCAACAGTCTCATTAACAACAAAACTGATTATGGCATTAACAGCATTGACAATGCAGATAAATGACATTAACAACCAACATCAACAACCTTGAACTTAACAGACAGAAATACATTATTCATGCAACTGAATATTCTACTACCTTTGTTTTCGGTAGAACACATTAAAATTGAAAACTCCGCACTCTCAAACAAGTACTACATGTTAAACAACATTAGACATGCATGTGTGCGTGCGTTTAATGTGTGTGTGTGTGTGTGTATATATGCGGATTTTTTTGTAAATGTGTGGGTACGTGTGTATTGTTAGTGTGTATGTATGTGTGTGTCTGCGTGTGCATGTGTCTGCGTGTGTGTGTTTGTGTGTGTGTGTGTGTGTGTGTGTGTGTGTGTGTGTGTGTGTGTGTGTGTGTGTGATTGACTGACTGAATGAAGGTAAGATAAAAACAATGAAATGACCTGCATACAGTTGATATTTCCATTGAAATTTAATTTTTTCCATGCGTGCCTCTGTCTGTCACGTAGCAGACAAGATGGCGTCATTCTTAAAATGGGATGAAATCCTTTTAAAATTGGACTTTGTGATACATTTTCCATTTGTGTAGAACAGTTCGGTTGAATTATTTATTGCATGCAGACAACATAAAATTCATTTAAAACAGTTACCTTTAATAAGAGTGAATATTTTATTTAAATCGATCGAAAAGTTTTTCTCTTTGAAAAGTGTCTAATTGTATTTTAGTTGCATTAAGTTTAAATATATTTTAAAATATTTTTTGAAATATATGATGACGACGATGACGATAATGATAACTGATGATGATGTTGATATGAAGAACAATAACATACTTTAGAAAATGAATGAATGAATGAACGAACGAACGAACGAACGAACGAACGAACGAATGAATGAATGAACCAATGAGATAGTTGTAATGTAATAATTTCACTGAGATTAAAATACTGTTTAGTTTATAATGTTGAGATTTTTTAGCATTTATCAAAAATTATTAGAATGCTAATGTGGCCTCAATATATCTAGACGTGATTTGTAATTATCTCTTTTAACAATTTAACTACATATTATATATATATATATATATATATGTGTGTGTGTGTGTGTGGTGTGTGTGTGTGGTGTGTGTGTGTGGTGTGTGTGTGTGAGTGTGGTGTGTGTTTGTGTGTGTGTGTTTGTATTAGAAATTATTACTGCTAGCGTTATCCAAATAAACTTTAATAAATTATTTTGTTTGTTATCGTTAGTTGGAACAAACGAATTAAAATCAACTTTTAAATATCTCAGGACACATTTATAGATTCTCCTTGTAAGATAAAAGTGTTTTTCATGGGGTAAAAGAAATATTATTTGAAATTGTACCGAGTGTAGGACGTACTTTTATTTTTGAATTATTGATCAAAATGTTTTCTGTGACGGTTTGATGTGAATTTGTGATTTAATATTTTTTTTTTAAATCATGGAAAGATATGGCAACGACAACAGACGCCATTCCCAACGACTGTGGAAACGCAGCTGAATTCGTTATCGTTCACAAAATGAAATGAACGATTCAATTTGTATTGAAAATATATCACCATTGTACATTCTAAAAACAATCATTCAACTGAAACAATTGCAAAAGAGATAATAATGAAGAGCATTGCTGAAATAATAACGTGAAAAAATAACATTGCAGAAATAATGAATGGTCATTTAAAAATAGACATTTAATAAAATTAGATGTAGAAAAAGATTGAATGGGCGAACTCATGCAATAAGCTATAGGTTAACTCTTAACTTTAAAAAATTTTTAAAATAAATAATAAGAATAAATTTTCCGACTCAGGCTTAAATTTGAAACTTAACATGACTCCACGTTAGCATACCGACGTCGCACGATTCCAACGAAAGAGCAATGAAATGTTAATTGCATGGGAGATTATATAGGGAAGGTGCACGATTCAAACATCTTAAATGCACTCATTAATATTTAAGATAACCACACCATTAAAGATAAGAAACTTTTACGTAAACAACAGTCAGGTTTCCTAGAAAATCGTTCAAAATTTATAACATTACAGAAAGTTTAGTTAAAAAATGTACGCCAGTCACTTTTTGATAAGTGTTGAAAATTTTGATCAATACATTAATTACTTAAACGAAAATCCTCATAATATATCGGGTTTCAACAGAAAATATTTATTAGTATTTGTTCAAAATGTTGTTTTTAAATTAATTAAAATTAGAAATCTTTAAAGCTTCTAAAAAAAATTTGTTATAAATTGGGTTAATGACGATGGTTATTTGCAAGATGTGACGGATGTTTTATCTTGAGAACTGTGAAGAGATTAGAGTTCTGCGTTATGTGATTGCTTACGTACACGCAACCAGCACATTTTGAAGTGCTAGATAAAAGTAATTGAATAAAAATTATTTAACAAAAATTAATTGGAATGTAATTGCAGTTTCTGTGAGAAGCATACTTTGTTGCTGGCAATTTTGTCGTTTTATATATTAGGCATTTATTTATAAAACTAAACTTTTCTTCTTTCATTATTATTTAAAAATTGTTTCCATAGAATTTGCATGTACCTCTACAATTGTTTATATTTTGCTATTGTACAAAAGAAGAATTGTACAAATAAATAACCAAATTAAATTGCTTATTATCAAATGTCTTAAAAAGATTATTTGGTGTACGCAGTTCCATCTTGCAAAATTATTTTCCGGTTCTTTTTTCAGTTTATACGAACAGTTGGTTTGAAAATTTATTTTCTTCATTGCTCTAATCGAGCCTACAAATTTATGGCATGAAGAAAGTTTGTTAAATGCAGAAAATTTAAGAAACTCGGTAGACGCCGGAAACTAATGATGCTCTAACTAGCTGATTAGGTGAATTCTTGCCCAAGTTTATGAACCGGAGACATTTGTTCAAGTAGTTAAAAATTATACAAAACAAATAAAACAAAATGATTAATGTCTTTAGCTAAGATAGATGTTAACAAATGGTTTGCATGTTATAATTGCAAATGTTTCCTCATTGTATACATTAGTTAAGCTTATTACATTTATATTTTATTTACAGTTGTTTGAAGCATCATTAGTGATATATTGAGTTTTAGAATTAAAGCTGTTTATCTATGGCTCAATATTCAATCGGGCACTTGTGAGGCACTGCGATTGGACACATTATGTTGTCTTACTGCCTGCCCTATTCATTTGAAAAAAGTTTATTCAATAACATCTTCTCAGAAAAACTTGGGAGCTGTTTGCGAATTAAAAAACATTAATCAATAATTTAATTATTGTGTTGGTATGCGCGCAAAAAGTTGTTAATTCAATGCAATTTCAAGACGAACTATCTGTCGTAAATAGAAAGAAACAACATCAGACAGGGCACTCACAGACTTGCGTAATAGGGTGTCCCGAAAAATTTTTTTTTAGAATTTCGCAATACAAGACCTCTTGAAAGTTGCCAATTTGATCATAAATTACGAAAATAATCATACAAATTAAATTAAATTGCATCTTCAGGGTTCTACCAAATTTTAAAGTTTTGAAAAATGGCATTTTTTGTGTTAATATTTTGTGCCGCTTAACGTCGAATCCGAATCATAATTAAAATGTTATATATGTTCTTTGTTTTGTTTACATGTGATAACTTCACTTCACATTGTTTTAATTTGTATTCATTAGCGTTTTCCTGGTTGTTTTAAATTTTTCTAGTTTGAGTTAGCAAATTCACTAAAATTTCAGTTTCTGAAGACATGATTTTAATTGTAAGCGAATTCTATTAAACTAATCTTATTATTTTGCTATAAAATTTTAAAATTAGAAATGTTTTATTTTCATCTTTCAGAAAATGAGTTCAATGCGTAGCGATACCATATGTGATATATAAGGTCCATATGATGAACTTAACGAACGGCAGCTACCAACCATAGGGGATGTCATTAAATTTATTTTATTTGTTAGGAATGACCTGAAACTAAAATGTAATGGCAAGGATCCATCAAATTTAAAAATTTATTCAGTTGTATCTAAAAAAATTCAAAATATCTGGGTAAAAGCTTCCACTCCAATCGTATCTAACGATCGAGTTTTACAACTCTTAAAATCTCACTTTGAAAAGATATCCCAAGAGCATGTTTTTCAGATTTATCAAAGAGGCTTTTTGATGTGGCTTCATGTAAATGTGTCTTATTTGAAGCATGTGTATGTTTGAAAAATAAAAAATTTCCTGTTAATGAAAGACGATTTTTGATCGATCAAAGAAATGAGAGAAAAATGGCTATAGGTGGCATCGATAAACAAGAAACAGTCAGATTGAGGAAACGACAGGCAAGACAATTTGAACGTTCAATGAAAGGAGTCAAAAAGTTTTGCTCAACACAAGGTTCTAATATTGTTTCAACAGCTTTGGATGAAGACGAGACGCATATCAATTTTTCCAAAACCAACCTGGCAACAGAAACACTTCTGACAAACCTGTCATTTACAATTACACCAACAACATCATTCGCTAATCAAAATTTACTGCAGTTACCAACATTGGCAAAAGTTTGTGATACATATCGATTGTTTACACGATCTGCTGCTGCTGTTGCTTCTGCCGTTTTAGTTGACGTAGGTCTGGTTTCAGATGAAGACTCAACTCTAGTAATAGACAAAAATAAAGTACACAGAGCTGTATCAAAGGCCAGAAAAAATATATATCAAAATATTAGCAAAGTTTCACTAAACAGCATTTATTTTGATGGTCGAAAAGACAAAACGTTGGTGAATAAAAAAATAGGAGTTCGTTACCATCGCAAAGTGGTTTTAGAAGAACATATTTCAATTTGATCAGAACCTAATTCTATTTTTTGGGACACACATCGCCATGTCGTGGAACCGCAAAAGAAATCTTTACTTCAATCATAACTTTATTAAAAAATCGAAATTACAATTTAAATGACGTGATGTGATGGAACTGTAACTAATACCGGGTGGAAAGGTGGTGTAATTAAATACCTTGAAGAGTATTTGGATAGACTTTTACAATGGTGTGTTTGTATGCTTCATGCTAACGAGCTACCTTTTCGTCATTTATTCTTGGCTTTAGATGGCTGCACTTCAGGTCCTAGAGAATATTCAGGGCTTATTGGAAAACAATTAGCTACTTGCGAAAATAAAACTATGTTGCTTTTTCAACCACTGACCGGTCATTTGCCTGATTTAACGAAAAATGTAGTTAATGAACTGAGTACAGATTAAAAATATCTCTATGAAATATGTCAAGCAGTATTAACTGTTTCCTGTAGTCCTGAGCTCGCAAACCGTCAACCTGGAAATCTATCTCATTCAAGATGGCTTACTTGTGCCAACCGTTTACTTAGACTATATGTAAGTACTCCTGATCCATCAGAAAGTTTGCAAATACTTGTCGAATATGTAGTTAAGGTATATGCTCCTATTTGGTTTTCAATTAAACAAAAAACATCTTTTAAAGATGGAGCTAAGGATATTTTTAATTTAATTTTATTCTCTCGATATTTACCACCAACAAATCTAAGAACAATTGTAGATTCTGTAATTGAGAGAAATGCTTTTTATGCACATCCAGAAAACCTTCTTGTTAGTATGTTATTTGACGACAGAGACTATATTCGGGAACTAGCATGTCGAAGAATAATAAAAGCTAGAAATACTGACAATGGTTTCAAACAGAGAATATTTAAAACACCGAAGCTTAACTTCTCTGCTAAAGATTATACTGAAATTATTTCGTGGCAGGAGTGTCAAGTTACACTACCACCTGTGCTTCGGGATGTTACTAATGACAAACTCAAAAAGATGGCAAAAGATGGAAGCCTTAAAATTGTTGATTTTCCTTGCCACACACAATCAGTAGAGAGATATGTTAAACTGGTAACAGAAGCATCACAGAGTGTGACTAATGTTAATTCGAGAGATGGTTTCGTAAGAACCACGTTACAAAGTCGAGCTGAATTTCCAATTTTCGGACATAAAAATAAATTTAAATTTTAAATATATTTTATACTTGAATATAAACCGTCTGTTGTTTAATCTTGTTTAAATGTGTTTTGTTTTATAAATAGTATTAAAAAATCTATTATAAATGCGAGTTTTTTTGTTTTTTTATGCAAACGATTCAAGTAATTGAAAACATTAAATTTTCAAAACTTTAAAGAGTGGTAGAACCCTCAAGAAGACATATAGTTTTTATTGTTTTATTATTTTTGAAATCTGCATAAAATTTCGCAACTTTTGATACCTCTTGTTATAATGTGTCTTAAAAAAATTTTTTTTCATACATCGACGGGACACCCTATTGCGTAATGCGTTCGCCTTTATTCATTCCTATTTATACAATCATTCATTTAGAGTTGTTGTTGGAAAAATTGAAAACAAAAAAATTGGAATCACAAATTTTTGACTTAGTATGAATCTAGAGGTTGTCCCAATAATTGAATTGCCCATTCAAAAATGTCTGACATAAATAAATCTTTTAAAACCAAATGATTGATCATATATTGATTCGTTCAAACATTTTTTTAAATATTGATTTTGTGATTTTTTTAAATCGATTTATTAAACATGTAGGATTCGTTGAATAAGTTGCAACCATTTGGATTTTGGCTCTGCTCCTGACAGCACAATTTGGTTCTCAGTAGGCATAGTCGATGTTATAAATCGAACGTGCAATAGAACAACAAACAGGCTTCTATGAACAACAATAACATGAATACAAAAGCGTCAGTGACTTACATAATTAAAAAACAAACAATAATAATTTAAATGAACAACAACATATACACAAACATATACATACTTATACAACCAACACAATACACACACTAACACATACTTACACAACCAACAACAGCATACACAAGCAAACGCATACATACACAATCAACAACAACATATGCACACAAACAATTACATACACAACCATCAACACACGCAAACACAAACATACACAACCAACGACAACAAACACACACAAACACATACATAAACAACCAACAAAAACAACAACATACATTAATACAAACAAGAGACCATCCACTTGCAACTCTTGTGAATTACAATCAACATGAAAATTAATAAAACAAGTCTGCAACTTCAATATCTTAATATCATTGGAGCTACCATAACACGTCACGAGATCATCATTTGTTTCAATGACAACATGCTCCTCCTGTAGGCATCGTAATTCTTACTTGAGTAGTTCGCCTAGCATTTTATAATAATTTTTTCCTAAATTCTCATCAACTACCATTGCAGGAAGTTAAATTAGTTATATGTTTTAAAATGTTTTATTCAGATGCTTGCAAATTATTTCTTAAATCATTCAGGGATTAAGTTCATTTATTTATGAACTTTTATCAAATTAATTGATTATTAGATTGTTAAACTGAACTTAAAAACTGAACATTAAGTGTACACAATTCCCAGTCTTCAAGTGTCTCAACCTAAAACAAACGAACGGACGGACGAACGAACAAATGAACAAACGAACGACAAACAAACAGATGAAATTTTGTATCTCTGTCCGACATTTCAAAGAAAAAAAAGATGCAAACATTTGAACACGATCAACCAAAATAGAGCAACCTTTAAAAATCCTCCAACCGACGAACGGCCTGCATGCATTAAATTTAAACACACAAGTGCTGACAGGAGGTCAACATTTCATTTAATTTAAAAGCGCAGCCGATGGACAACCTTTTGGAAATGTCATGACCTCATCACTGCTTGCAACTGCTATACATAATGTATGGATGAATGGATGGATGGATGGACTGATAGATAAATGGATAAATTGATGGATGGAAGTGATGGATAAATTAATGCAACGGTTTCTACAAGATGGATGGTGTCGGTTGAGTTCAGTTTGTAGGTGCGTATTCAGCACTATAATCTCAATGACATATGAGCTGTCGATATCACACAATTGTTGCATGAAATAAAATAATATAAATAATATATTTAAATATGATCTAATTTTTTTATTTATATAAGTTTATATTTAGATTTATTTGTATTTTTATCAAAAATTCAATCGATGTACATTCTGTTTGTTTTGCGTGCTTTCTTCGCTGTTTATTTGATAGTCTTGTTTGTCTGTTTGCTTACGCTGTTTTTAGTGTTATTTGTTTACGTTAGTATTTCATGTTGTGTTGAGAAGTTTATTTTTTATGTTTTGTTTGCCACATATTCTGTTGTATGTTGTTTATACTCTGTACTGTACGTTCGTTGGCTGCATGAAGCAGGCCGTTCACCTAGATGAAGTGATTTGCACAAGATTATTAGCTGTACCTACTCAAAATATACCCAAGATTTGCATTGTCCATGTCAACGTCTTATTGGGGGAAGAGAAACTTTAATTTAATTTTAAAATGTCTGTCAAAAAACAATCAAGAATCTAACCTAGGTATTTCTTATTATCTAAGTTGCTGGGATTGCTTCATGTCAACTTTATAACATGCAGTTTGACACTTTGTTTCAGTGTCGTTCAATAAAGAATTAATCAATAATCTGTTGTTGTTTTTTCAGGGATAATTTTTTCGATGCATATTTTTAGTTAATTAGTGCAGATTTTTTCTTTCATGTGCAACAGGATATGAAAGGCTGGAGACTGCTGTCACGCTTGATTGCCGGTCGATCGATGGAGACGTTGTTAGGACGCGAACCGCCTGCCATGACGACGTCCGCTTGTTTGCTCACAACGCTGCTGTTCAATTTTTTATTGGCCCTTCAATTTCTGCAGCTTTGTGTGACGTTAATAGTAATTTTCTCCTCCAACTTGTTTTGTTACGCTTATTTTCGTGTAGAACATTCCATTATGTTATTGAATTTATTTTCGATTATTTTAGATGTTTGTATATTTCAATTTGTCGAAATTTGATGATAGATGTAGTTTGAAAATATTTGAATGAATAAATAAGATGAACATGAAGTCTCGTGCTATCTTAATTTTTGCTTTTCTTTTGTCTATTTCGACAGCAACAGGTTTGTTTTCAATTGAACTCTCAGATTTTCTACCTTAGTATCGGTAGTTGTTATTTTAATAAGTGAAGTCTATGAAAAATGGTTTCAAATATGCCAACCATCATATGGATTACATTTAATTTTTGCAATCATTTATTTCGCTGCGCTACGAAACACTGCGATTTTTTGCTGAAATGTTTTTAAATATTAATTTGTAAAGGATGATTATTGCGATTGAAAAACTGACAGATGCTCAATGTCCAGCAGCTAATATCTTCAACAATCGTTGTTTCAAGGTCTTAGCTAGTTCAGGCCCATTGAACAGCGCCAGACAAACGTGCATCAGCGCAGGCTTAGACTTGGCCAGCATTCAAAGTTTCGCTGAAGATGACTTCATCAGAAAACTTGCAAAAGTGGTGAAAATAATTTTCTATTGAGTTACAAAAATTTGAAAACCACTAATGAAAATTAATTATGATCAAATTCTTAAAAAAGCGTTTGCATCTTCCATGTAATAATATAAAAGTAAAATTAATAAGCAAAATTTTCTACTAGTTCCCTTACACAAAAATGTACATTGGATTGTCCGACATGGAGACTGGCTCTGCGTTCACCTGGCTGAATGGAGATAATTCTACATATAAAAATTATTCAGGTTATAAAAATTTTAAAATTATCTTAACAATATAAAAACAACATCTTAACAAAAAAAAAACAATTGCAGTTGTCACCAATTGCAATTTGGAGATTTCTTTTGTTTGTTTCACTTATTAACATCTGCTTAAAAGTTTTACGATGAAGATGTATATGATTGAAACTTTAATGACATGTACTTACTGTGCAATGAAAGTTTTAATGCTGGGGAAAAAACAACCACCGGTACAGACGCGGCTGCAAATGCAACTTTCTACGGAGACGGTCGTCGTTGTTTTGTGATGTCGTCCAATGGTTACTGGGGGACAGTGAACGATGTGAGGGAGTGGCTGCCAGTGTCCTGCTGCTTCAATGTTGATCAAATTAAACTCGTTGCTTGCTCAGGTCAGCGTACAATAAATTCCTATTTTAATAGTTTCATATCTTACAGACATTTAAATTTTATATATCTTGTAAGCATTTCATGTACATTGGCGTCTCCAAGAATTAAAAAAAATTCCTTTATCCACTACCTAAAAAAATTATAAAAACTATAAATTCTATAATAATTAAACCACGATCAATTGAATGACTTATTCATGCTGTATTTTTTATTTATTGCAATCTAGCTCACATGGCATGTAAACTGATGGGTTGTTTTTTCTCTTGGTTTTTGATTATGCAGCTCTGACAAGCGCTGAACTGCCCACCCGTATTATTCAGCACCTGTCTGTCTACGCCACACGCCCACGTCCGGCTTAATAATCAAATTTCTTTTCACCAAGTGTCGTTTGCATGCGTTATATTTTTTTTTAATTGTGTCACAAGTCACAAAAACATTGGAAATAGTGAATAAATAAGGAAATAACGATAAATGGCATACAAATCAGTGATAGCAACAAAAATAATAACGATATTAATAAGAATAGTTGTAATGCAACAACAATACAAGTGCCATGTATAAAAAATTGTGAAGTAACATGATAATTAAAATGATGATAACGATGATGATGATGATAAAAATGAAGATGGATGGCTATGATTATCATGTTTGTGGTGATAATAAAACAAAAATTGAAAGATCAAAAAATTAAAACGTTGTATAAATTTTTTTTTCTAGACGTGGTTAACTCATCGAAAACGGTATCGCTGCTGAAAAAATATTGCATTGGAAGTAAGTTTTCCTTCTTTCTTTTCTCATATTTCTCCATACTTTGTTCTCTTGCACTGGCTACCTATAAAATATAGAATAATTTTAAAAATTTGTACATTTATGTATAAGTCTCAATCTATATTATTTCCTAAGTACTTATCAAATATATTTATTGAATCTAAACACCCCGGTTTACGATCGTCTTCTTGTTCTCACTTCTTCTTAACTCGTGTTAAACACTCTGGTTTTGCTTTTTCTGGCCCTTTTCTCTAGAACTCTCTACCTACTTCTCTGACTACTTCTCCATCATTTATGAAGTTCAGAGCGGATCTCAAGACCCATCTGCTTGCAAAATTCATTGAGGAGCGCTGTTGAACATTGTTGAGCGCTTTATAAGCGGCGTGATGGCTCAATTGTTAAAGGCGCCTGGTCTTGCTATTGCAATGACTGGGTTCGAATACAAAGAGATCCCCGCCTATCATATGCAATGTGTATGATGCGTGGTTTGCACGCGTATTCATATACGCTGTGTGTGTTTGTCGTTGAAACCTCTGAAGCAAACGCAAAAGAGAGAGAGAAACCTTTAACCTTTAATTGATTGATTGATTACTTTTATTTTATTAATTGATTTAATAATAAAACTAGTCTTTTATTATTTTACACTCTATTTTAGATATTCTAATATATAGATTGATTGATAGATAATGTCGATTGATTGGAGTCCCATTGCTAAATGTGGTGCGGTGTTTAAATTAGGTTTTTCTATTTCACTTTACAACCTCACCTTTTCATTCAGTCTAATTTGGTAAAAGTTTTAAAATTAACAAAATATTTGAGAAATTAGATTTTAAATTTTTTTGAACCTTAAAAAATTTTTAACCATGGAAAGATTGTTCTTCCGACTGGTACCTTTATAATGGGAACTGTTACCAGCTGACGAAGGCGATCGGTACTGCAACAAATGCTTCCAACGCAAGAAGAGACTGCTTAGCGAAAGGAGCTGATCTCATCTCCTACAACTCTAACAACTATCTTTTCGTCAAATATCTAACTTTTGCGATGGCTAGCATTATTGAATTTCATTCGTTGTTTTTTTGTATATTTTGTGTTTTAAGGTAGTTTTTTAAGGTTTTGTTTCTGAATTTGAAGGGAGCAACTTCATACTATTTGGGAGCAACTAAACAACCAACAACATCCTCTTACAAAAATTTGGATTCCACCGATCTTTACAGTGACATGTCAAGTTCTGCAAGTATGAATACATAAATTATGCGTAATAACAAATTCAAATTTAAAATATTACTCATTCAAACCATATTATGATCACTTTAATTTATTCATAGCTGAATTTCAGGTTATCTCTTATATATTTAATATCATAAGTGTCAACATAATTTGACGTAAGACTGAAAATTATAGCAATTAGAAATTACATTGGAAAGAACAAGGACACATTTTTTCATTTCATTTGGCAAGGCTTAGGAGCAAATGTTCCAAAGAATTGCACTGTCGTAAGCTACCAAACCAGTCTCCAGTACCAGAGGTCAGAAGAAAGTTGTTGCGAAAATCTTGCATCGGTTCTCTGGCTTGGATGTCAAAAACGTACGTTACATTTCACAAGATTCGTTATGACTATCGTTTGATCTCTGCTTCTTTGTTACTGACAACACCATAACATAATACTGCATACATAACATTGGTGTTCTGTAATATTGATCCTAGAGTTGCAAAGTAAAGTTTTTTTTATAGTGCTTTTAAACGTTTATGGATTGCAAAGCCTAGGTGTGAAATAGTTTAAAAATCTTGTTGCTGCCTCGTTTTCTGTCGCAAGAGTGTTCAATTACTGCTGTTATTTTTAGAAACATGTATTTCGCCAACTATTAACACACAGGCAGTTATGTTATGAACACCATAGTAAAAACTAAACTTTTCATATTGATTGCGTGATGTTGTACTAATAGACAGAAAGATATTAATTATAATTGATTAATTATTTTACTGTCAATTTTATTTAAATTTAATTTCTTTCACTTCATCGTTAACCCATCAGCTGAGACAACAGCCATCAATGTTCTTTTGGATTCAGACATCTTGGCGCAGTTTTGTTACCAGGGTATGTACGTATGTAGATACGTATGAACATTTTCACTATTGTCGTTTTCATTTTTACAAGTTTTCATAAATATTTATTCATGTGAAATTTAATAAAAATTGAATTTTATTGTGAGTTTTTAAACTAATCGTTGAACGTGCAGACAGAAATGAATGCTCCAGTTCTCCATGCACCAACGGAGGAACCTGCGTGGATCACATTTACTACTACAAATGCACTTGTCCAACTGGCTTCACAGGAACCAACTGTCAATATTGTCAGTTCATATTTTGAAAGTTTCAATCATAACAATATTTACTGAATTTCGATTAAGCTGTTAGTTGAGTATTAGGTTACATCACGTTTTATTATTTTTTTGGCATTGGTGTTAATGATAAACTTCTAATGGCTGATGTTCAGAACAAACAAGTCTTCTTACTAGTTTCACTTAAATTTATCTGTCACAGTGAAGTGACTTTGATATATTTTGTTTAAACTTTGACTTGATCGATAAATTTTAATTTTATTTGACAGCGATTTACCCGTGTCGATCGAACCCCTGCCAGAACAACGGTACCTGCAATGATCTGAGCGACTTGAAAGCCAGCCCTGCCATCTCCAACTACACATGCAGCTGCATCGCTGGCTACAATGGAAGCAACTGCGAATTTTGTTAGTTGTTTTCTTAATTTATTTTTTTTGACTTAATGTTTTTTTTTGTATTTAACCGGTTTGAAAAATTATTCTCAAAGTAAATTTTTAATATTTTGCTAAACATAATGAGTGTTTGTTTTTACTAAAATCATTTACTGTTTCAATAGCCACAAGATGCATCACTATACAAACAGTATTATAATGTTATATTATAACGATAAATAATTCAATGAAATCCTTATTTAGATTGGAATAAATGTTTAAATAATCCGTGTGCATACGGTGGCACATGTTCAGTGGTCAAGAACCTAGGCCCTCCCGAATCCTATAGCTACAAATGTTCATGCGTTACTGGGGCGACTGGAGCCAACTGTGAAACAGGTTTTCATTTTTGGTTTTGTGATTTAACAAAATATTCTACATTTTAGGAAAATAATTATTAATGTTTAAATTTGATTTAAATTTGTAAAATTGTTCGTTTTTATTTTTTAATATGTTTACTGCCAGACAACTAAGCTGTGGTATCTATTTATCACATTTCACTGTCGATTCAATTTTTTCTTCAACACACCAACCAGCTTTAGTGAACAAGTGCGATTCAAGCCCCTGCAAGAATGGTGCTTCTTGCGAGAACAAGGTCACTTCATTTGCATGCACGTGTGTGGCTGGCTACGTTGGAATAACGTGTGAATCTGGTTGGTAGATTTGCTGTTTCGGTCAACAACATTCAATCGTTTTTTCTTTTGATAGCTGTTAAAAGTTTGTTTATCATTTATATTAATTTTTAAAACAATTATACAAAATTGATGGACATTCAAGAGAAATTGTTTAACAGCAGACGAAATAATTCATTTCATTTCCTTTACATGACGCAGTAACGTAGAAATTATAAATACGGCACAGTTCTAAGAAATTCTATAAGTTGATTTTATAAATATTACAGAATTCTAGAAAATGAACTTATGTATGGTATTGAGTGTTAATAAAATATTTACCAGGTTCAGAATTAGAATAAAATGTGTGAGTATGAGTACATACAAATATGAAACAATTTTTAAATTTCTCACTACCCTTCCAGAGGTTTCTTGCGAGGATTTGACCTCGCTGGTAGCCAACGCAAATCAGACTTCATTCACAGGCACAGGGACAAGGTATAAAGACCAGAGGCAGTTCACGTGTCGGCCAAACTATCTCTTCTTGGATATGTCGCTAAACAAAACTGTCGAGTGTACCAGTAACAATGTCTGGAATGATAGCCTCGTCAAGAAAGGCTGCTTTGGTGAAATTAATTTCATGAAAGTCATAATTCTTAAAGAACGTTTTTGAGAATTAATTAATAATACTACACTTGGTGTTATTAAAAAATTAATTTTACAAACAATATTCGCATACATAGTTGTCTAGTTGTCTAAATGTCAATGATTAACTTTCAAAATTTAAATTACTAAGCGATTCTTAATTTTCGTTCATTTAGAGAGCTGTCCCTTCGCTCCAATGGTAAGAAACACTGAGCCGGCAAATCTGACGCTGGTGGTGAACGCATCAATAACCTTCACATGTAACACGGGCCACGTCATTGATCGCAACATCACAAGCATCACCTACACCTGCCAGCCCGACAGAACTTGGAGCCCCACTGAAACCTTAAAAACATGCCTACGTCAGTCAGATTCGTCATCAGCTTTATTTACATTGATTTTTCATAAACTAAGTTTTGATTTTATTGCTTTAACAATTTATATATATTATTATTATTAAAACATCAAAAACTTTACTTTGAATAATGTTTTCATTTATCATGCATCGTGCAGCGCGTCATTGCTCAGACCTGGTGAAACTTCCGAACCAGCAGCTGAACAGCAGTGACAACGTCTACAAGACGAACGTCCTGCTGACGTGTGACAGTGGATACGTTCTGTACGACAACACGACCTCCAGGACTCTCAGATGCAAATCCAACGGGGAGTGGTCTGCTGCACAGCCACAGTGCCTGCGTTAGAAAGTTTCCGTGTAACTTTATGGACTAATTTGAGTTTCAGCATTTAAAAAAGGATTCAGGATATTAATTGAATGCAATTTGATTTTATAGCGTTTAAGCATCTGCACTTCGTCATAATACAACTTTTGTATTTTATTTTGTATAATATTTTGTAACTTTTGAATTTGTTTCTTTACTAATTTTTTAAAAATTTTAATGTTAAAAAGGAGGATTGTTTTCAACGTTATTTAAACAAAAATGTATTAAGTAATTTCCTAATTAATAATAATTAATTAATAATAAGTAATTAATAAAGTGCTCATATTTATTTGCCGGCACATTATATTATTTTAAATATGTTTCGTACACGTTGAACGGCGAGACAGCTGTCAGGTGTCCAGCATTGCCAGAGTACGCACACTCAACTCGCAACACAACCAACAACACGTACATGACGTACGTCAGATACAAGTGTGATGACGGAGGATACCGCATGCTGGATGGCTCCACCTCCAAGGTCACTCTCTGTGACGCTGGCGGTCAGTGGAGTGACTACATCACCGACTGCAGCTGTTAGTAACTTTTTTATTCTAAATATGACTTTATTTGGTAATGTGTATTTCATTGAAGGAAAATTTCAAAATTAAATTTTTTTTTAAAACAGTGAATCGTTGCTTTCCTCTTCCATACGTTGCAAACGCAACACCATCAACCACCGATACAAACTTCTGGACAAAAAGTATCCTTACATGTATTCCTGGGCACAAGTTCAAAAAAGTATCTATCCTTCAATTGTAGTTGATAGCAATTTAACATTATGCTCGTCTACCTTTAGATTTCAGCATTCATTTCACCGTTTAAACTGTGAAACAAATTTTATTAAGGATATTGGTGAATTTTCGTCTGATACCATGACGTGTCAAGAGAACGGATGGTGGAATCCCATCCTCACTTCATGCCAACGTTAATTTTTTTATTGCCTTCAAAACTTTTAATAAGCGTTAATTTCAATTAAAATTATGTCATTTAATAGTATTAAGCAAAAAATTCTTGCGTTTTCAGCTATATTCTGTCCGGAGTTGAGTAAAGCAGGCAAAAATATAACACGTGACACGGAAAACAGACTGTATGGTACAGTGGTCAAATACTCGTGTATCAAAGGACATTACTACGATTATGCAAACAAACTCAATACTTTTTATATTCAATGCCTCGATGTCCAAGAGTGGAACAATCCTGTCATACCGGACTGCAAACGTTTGTCTTTCCTTATCTCGTGTTTATTATTGCTTTTACGGTTATGATTATTTTTAAATAAAAGTTGTACATTCCTTTTTTTGAATCTTGTAATTCATTTAAATTAAGTTCCTACCGTTATTGCTGCATAGTTGCCATTGTTATCGCGATATTGCGTTGTTAAGCGCGGCAAAAACTGAAAGATATGCTTTGGCAGACACTAAATAAAATCGCTAAATAAATAAAAATAAACAACTTAACAAAAAAATTAAATCAATAATTACTTCATTATTCTTAAAGTTTTTATGTTTTTTTTTCATTAGCAATTTACTGTCCCGCTCCTCCTGTGAAGCCAGAGAATGGCTTCAGAAGTGAACTAACATCCGTTGACCACCTCTACCTTGAGAATATAACTTATTCCTGTGATGCGAGCAACAAATTCGCTGATGGGCGAAACAGTAAAACGATTCAGTGCAATGAGTTTGGCTCGTGGAATGACACCGAGGTCACCTGCAAAGGTTTGAAAGTTTTCGTCTTCGTATCAAATTGTAACGAATAAAATCATATACAATCCACGCGAACATATCATATACAATCATTGAAATTTATTTACTCTGCCATTTATTATTCTGCAATTATATTTATCAATCATTGCCCAATCACCCCAGATAAAATGTCTGTAACCAAATTATTTTCTTATCTTTTGTGTTGGAAAAAGGTCTAATTAATTAATTGATAAATCGAATAATACTAACCAGCCGACAGATGTGATGCCATACCCAAACCACCAAACTCTACTCCCAACTCCACAAATACGGACTGGTTTGCTGTCGTGTCATATACTTGTAATCCTGGCTATGAAAGGAAAGATGGACGAACAAATTTTGCGATAAAATGTGAAACTGGCCAATGGAATGACACGTACGACGCATCAAAAGACTGCACCAGTTGGTTTTTATACGAGTTTTTTCCCTATTAATTTTTATGATGTACGTTTATTCTTTAAGATACACTTTTTCCTCGACATTTAATTATCATCACCAAGATATCAATCAAAACAAGTGGCAACCTAAAGACCGAGCTAATACTTGAAAATATTTAAATTATTTTACTAACTTTATGCTGTCGATATTTTTCAATAATTATTCAATTATATACACATAATATGCGTGTGTGTGCAAGTAAGAATGCTGCCTGAGTAAAGCTGTTAGTTCTAATTTGATATCATGCAATACTATCATCTGTAAAGCCGCGTGCATGAAGACTTGCGTTTAGATAATGTTACACGCCATGCAACTACTCAGTTAAACAATGCCAACCTGCGCCCGTGTACGAACATTCCAAAGTGAATTCGACCGGGACACCTGTCTACAACACTGTACTTCAGTACACGTGCGACACTGGCTACCAATATCCGGTCGACAACACGACAACGAAGACAATGATTTGCAACGAAAATGCACTTTGGGAGCCTTCTAATCTAACCGCCTGCGAAAGTTATTACCGATTTGTTAATAATAATATATTCTGTATGGGTATAAATTTGATAATCATTTGTTGCTTATAAAGTGGCTTATTATTTAGAATAAAGAAGTTGATGTATTAATCTTAAATGTCTTAATAACTGCAAGATGGTAATGTGAAATATTATTATTAAAATTTTTTTAGAATTATTGAAACGCTGTTTTCAGTTATTCATTGTCCCACAAAGCCCAACGTGTCGAACGCCGATGGAAATTCAAACGAGACTGAGTACGACACCATAGTTAAATACATCTGCTCAGCAGGCTACCAGTTCCCTGATAAAACACCGTCTAAAGAAATAAAATGCACTGAAAATGGTACATGGTCCGACACACCGCCCCCTTGTGAAGGTACTTTCTGTTTATGGTGTTGTTTCGTCGTTTTATTTAATTGATGACTTTTTCAAACTCAACAAACTCAAAAGATGAAATAAAACGTTCCCACTTTAAGGATTTGTCGATTTTGGTTTTTTATTTAAAATAAAAAAGGTGTTAAATTTGTTTAAAATTGCGAATTTAGTTTAAAATTCAGTTATTCAATATTTCGGTAACAATGTTTTCAAGAGTCTTGATAAATGTTTAGGCTAATAATATTTCATAAATTCTGTGAAGTCAATGAATAAGCTAACCAAATCTCTGGTAAAATATTAAGAAAGCGATTGATATATACTGTAGCACATTACTTAATAAGTACATGTAATGTTTATACTGATATGGTTAATAAGTGAACTATTTAAAAAACGATGAACGCAGAGATATACTGTCCGATGTTCCCGCACTGGTCGCCTGCAACTTACAACGCAAGTAACCAAAACAACTTGTTGTCAACACTTGAATACTACTGCAACCCAGGCTATGCTTTTAAATCTTCCACCGCCAAACCAGGCAACTTGACCATTCGTTCATCCACCTGCAATCGCAACAAAGCTTGGGAACCTCCACTCGAGCCCTGCCAGGGTAAGGTCGTTCAATTCCGCTAAAAACTAACTTGTTTTCATTAGTTTTTAAAATATAATGAAAATTTTGAATGAATGAAAAAAATAAAATTTTAAGTTACTGGTATAAAGTTTTTGAAATTAAAAACTTAAATTTATAGAATGAGGTAGAATCACTGACGGGAAGCTAAATAATAAACACGTTCTCTGATTATTAATGACCAAAATAAATTGTCGTTGTTAAGAAATTTGTTTTACCATTTAAAAAATTTTCAAACAGCTTTAACAGACTTTGACTTAAGTGGAAAATCGTTCGATAGCGAACAGGCAGAAACTCTGGGAAAAATTGCTTGTTCAATTGTCGGTCTCATCATGGTCGTTGTGCTTTTTATTGACTCTAGGAAGATTCTCACTGATCTTAAAATCTTTAAGAATAATATGAGACTTTTATTTAGAAGCAATAAGGCAAATAATAAAATTGTCCCCGCAAAATGATATTTTACACATTTAAAACTTTTTTCTACATCAATTTTTTTTCTTTTAGACATTAAATGAAACAACGGTGATAATGACGTTTAAATATCATTACTAAAAGTTGAAATTGGCTGGCTTTGTCAGAAAAAACTCTTTAAACTTGAAAATAATATTGTCCGAAAAAATTAAAGTATCCCTATTTACTAAATTCAATTGTGGATCAAGTTTTTTGTTGTATTTTATTCTTTGTTACTATTTTTAGCGGTATTTTAGTTTGATGACCAATTATTCATTCGTTGAAATTTATTAGCATTTCGAACTTAATGGGAAATTCAATTAAAAACATAAGCAAATTGAAGCCATTTTGATTAACAAAATCCCAACCGATTAACTAATAGAAACCATTGTTAGGGAGATGTTGTTTTTTTAATGTTGTTCAGTGAATGCAAGTAAACTAACGATTTTGTGGTATAATCCATGGTATAACCCTACTATTATCTATATATATATAAACTATGCATACCATTATTCGAGTACATTTAATCATTCTTTCGTCATTTTTTCGTCATTCACATTTTTCATTAAATATAACAAATTATTTTAATTTTATGTTTTAGCAGTCTTCTCTAATTGTTAGACTGAAAATACAAATTAATTACGGACTATAAACGTAGCACATTACAATTTATTACTTAGAAATATGTGATAGTTTCATTTTTCGGTGAACTTTTACAGTATGTCTTCATGCATTTCCAATTGATTTTTGTACGTAAATACTTATAAACTTTTTTATAAAATAGTTGACAATTTTCACTATTTCATTAACGAACTATGGTTGTACATATTAACTTTATTAGCCCTGACACAACTTCAAGATATTGGTAGAATAGAAGAAATATTTTTGAAGTTTAATTTTTATATTGGAAAAATACTTTGAATCTAACTTTTACAAAATGTTTAACTTTTTCAAATCTGTCATGTAACATTTGATTTTATATATTCAATCCTATATTCCTCATTTAGAAGAAGTTTTTGTGTTATAAACTTCATTAAATAGATGGTTACTCTTTTTCAAATATCGTTGATGTTATAATTGATGCGGTGATGTTCTATTTTGCCAGTATAGGAGAGGTGAATCAGAGATGGGTTAATGGAACATATTGTTAAAATGCTAATGACCCTTTAACTACACCTGTGCTGATTATTCTTTAGCTTTAAAATATGCTGACGTGATGACTCTTTAGTGCTATATGCTAATTACATTGCCGTCAAAACATCTTAACAATAAAGCAATTCTCATGCCTAAATTCCAAAGAAATTAAAACCAAACACTATATCAGAAGACATCTCTGACAAATTTATATCTATGATAAGCAAGCAATGTCTCAGTTATAAACATTTTCGAAGATTTAAAATTATTTGACGACATTTAATTTCATGGCTCCAAGCAGGAATCTTAATTTTTACATGTCCCTCTGGTACATCATAGCACCATATAGGGAGCTGTAATGCCTTTAAACTCTGATACAATAACAACAGTAATTACAATAATAATTATATTGCAATGTGCTTTAAATGACGCATTGGCATATATATATATTGTTCTATATAGTCGGACGGAACCACCCATGTTGAATCAAAATATATGGCATTAATGAACACAGTAAGGATCGATTTTTGGAATGTGGTGCTGATCTAATTAAATAAGCCGGTAGTTTTTCTACTAGATTCATAGATTCATGTAGCACTTAATTTCCTGAGCATGAAGATGTATAATTTGGAACTGAAAAACTTGAGATTCTTGATATATAGCATCTTAAATCGACTGACTGACTGAATACTAAACACACATTATAGCATAGTTCAATTTTTGAAATGTAGCGCTGATATAATAAATTAAGCTGGTAGTTTTTCTATTAGATTCATGGAACATTTAATCTCCTGAACATGAAAATGTTTGATTTAATAGTGGATATCCTGAGGATAGCATATATTTATATATAGCATCTTGAATCAAGATATATGGGTGGACGTCGGAACTAATAAATAGAATAAAAGCACACAGACTTTTCTAGGTTAAAATTTACGCCAAATCAAAAATTCAATTACTGTGTTATCCAATGGCATGTAGTATGAAATCTTGTATGAAAGGTGGCGCTAAAACTGTTCTCAATTTTTAGCAACCGGAATTGTGGCACCTTCTAAGCATAAAAAGTGAATGAAACATAACTATCTAATTTGAAGTGAGCTCTATTATTTATATCCTGTCGGTGCGTCGATATATACATAGGAAACGACAAAAGTGAATTTCTTCTTTGTTGCCAGGAGAATTTTATTAAATTGGAAAAATTGTATTTTTGTGATTTTAATTTAAAGTTTTACCTCTAGAACCGAAATTGTACATAATATTTACTTCATAAAATTCATATTTTTGAATTTTTTACTGCCAATAGCTATAATAAATAAATTAATTACCAAGGAGTTATAAAAAAAAATCATTATTCATTAGTTATCATTAGTTAGTTAGTAGTAGATTACACATTACACTTAATTAAATAGACTTAGAGGTTACTAGATAGACATACAGATAATTTTATAGACATTTGCATTTTATACCATTGTCATCACTATCTGGAGGGGAACTAAATAACAATGAAGATTTAATAATTTTTTAATTTTATTTTAATTAATTAACTTCGCTTGTCTTTTTTCATAAATTTGAATTTTGTTTTGATCATTTTAATTAGCATCAATTTCCTTTCAACAACTGTGACAAGATTAACATTTTTAATTTAAAAATAACAAAATGAGCTCAAGTTTGGATGATATCGACTTGGCAAACCTCAAGGTAATTTTATAAATTTAATATTATAAATTTTTTAAATGTAATTTTATAAATTTATTAAATTACTAATGTTTATTTAATTCTTCATTATTATTATAATAAATAGCTATATTTCATGATTATGTTAGTGACCAATAGTTAATTAGACTGTGATTGATAATCAGATAAATAAACATTTTTATTTATGGGCTCCATTGAGTTAACAGAGTCATCGTCCATAGTGCACTAGCTTTAACCTTTACATGATATTTCAAATATTTACTCTTAGGGAAACCTTTACCTGTAATAATTTGTTCTTTATAATGTCCTATCTATTAATAATAATAACGCTGAAAGTTAAGTAAAATGAATAATTAATATTTTAGTTAGTTAATCTGTCAAATAGAATATATAATTCATTTAATATAAATAAACTGGTCTCTTTGAAAAACTTTGAAAACTTTCAATTGATAGTTTTCATGACTATTCATTCATTTTAATGTGAGGCTTTTTTATAATTCATATACACATTGTATGTGATAGAAAATTCACATAACACAAATTTTGTCTTAGCAAGGAAAATAAGGAATGGGGTGTTAAATCTTTGGCTACTACCTTACCCATAGTGTAAAGTAGAGTGTCAATTTACAAAATTTTCTAATGCTCATGGTTAAAGATTTTGCTTATAAAGGGGGAATGTTTTAAAATTCAAAATATTTTTAATTTTGATTTATTAGATATTTCACTTCTTTTTATTCAAAAACATTATTTTTGTATTTTAAATTATTTCTGTTTGACTGAGGCATTTTTTTTTATTAAAATCAATGCCATAGCATTTATGTGAAAATAAAAAATAATATTTTTATTCATAGTGTATATATGTAAATGATCACAATCTACTATTACACTAACATAATATTTTGAGATAAAATTAGAAACTTTCATTAAGCTAAGGGATGGAGGTGAACATGATATGGGAATAACATTAACTTAATGTAGTGGTGTTAGTGTGGGATGTGATTGCTTCATTGGTCATTCATTAAGCTATTGTGCTGTGTTTCAATTAATCATGCATACAATTGTTCCTGTGTGTGTGTGTGTGTGTGTGTGTGTGTGTGTGTGTGTGTGTGTGTGTGTGTGTGTGTGTGTGTGTGTGTGTGTGTGTGCATTATGTATACAAATGCTTACATAAGAGTGTGATTATTGTGCATTAAGTTGTTTGTGTTTGTGTGTGTGTGTTTTTTTATTTGTATATATGTGTGTTATTTGTGTACAAGTGTGTCAGTGCAAATGATTTATGCTTTGAGCATGTTAATTATAGAGTATGGGCTAGCTAACTTCTATGTTTGTGTGTGTGGCCATGCTGTGTGTTTATGTTTGTGTGTATGTGTGTTTACCATATATGTGTGTGTGTGTTATTCATTCATACGTAATTGTATTGGCAAGTTCATCAGCATCATCATCACTGCTTGGTCATTAATGCTTTTATTGTTCTTCTATGTTGTTGTTGTTGTTGTTGTTGTTGTTGTTGATTATGGTGGTTGTGAGGGTAGTGGCTGTGGTAATGATAATGATGTTGTTGTAGATTGTTGTAATCTGTCTGGTAACAGTCATCATTATTATTATTTTGGCTATCTAATTTCAGTTGTTTTTGGAACTATTATAATTACTCCTCCTATTGTATAGCATTCATTGCAATGTTATCAAAGTTCAAATCATACTTTATGATGGTGACAATTTATAAATAGGAACAATTGCTATCACTATAATTAGCATCATGTCATATTTTTCATTATCAATAATAATAATTATTATTACTACTTATAATTTTTATGATATGCTCTCTTCTTTGAACAAGTAATTGATTTTCAGGGCCATTAGCTGTTCATAAAAACCATTTAGGTTTTATATCATTTTAAGTTTAGTAACAATCTGTTAACTTTCATATTCAGTTTCTTGAATGTTGAATAAGTAACAATTTTTATTTTCTTCAAGTTCTCATTAATTTCAAATTGTTGGGCTTGGAAATAAATAATGTTATTTTTTATATTTTATTGTTGTTATGGTAATACTAATAATGATAATAATAATAAATATTCTTATTTTATCACTAATTTTTTTTGTAATTTTTTGTCATTCTTTTTGGTCTTATGCATATACACCTATCAATTTTATTATGCTTGTGTTTGTGTATATGTATGTCTGTTTCTGTTAGCATAAGTATGTATAAATAACTTTGTATAGTATGTTTAGGTATTTGAGAATGTGTCTTTGGAGGAATCTTCATACTAAAATTCATTGTAATCATTGCTATCTTATTTAATTTTTCAAATCTTGTTTTTTTAGTTTTGTTTGGCTTGCTAAAAAGTTCAAGGTTTCACACAAATTTACTGAAATATTGTACTGTAGAGAAACCTTTAAAATGTTTCTATATAGATTTCTTTAACGTAATTAAGCATAATTTAAGCTTCATTTTATTTCTTCAGATTGAATTTTATTGAAAAAATATGCCTCACTGATATGGAATTTTTCCTTTAAATTTAATTTAATGAAACTGCTGCTCTGGATTTCAACATGTGTATGCCTTTGCATTTGTATGCATCCTTATGTGTTTGTATATGTGTTTGTATATGTGTGTGTGGATGTGTGTCTGCTTGTGGATGCGTGTATGTGTTTTGGTACATGTGTGTCTGTGTATTTAGCTGTGTCTTTGTAGATGGAGTTAGTTTTATATTTGGATGCACTCACTCCTTGCATCTGTTTATTTGGCTGGGAGGAAGCATTTGTTTGATTGAATGCTTGTTTACATAATGATTTTTTTTCATTTTTAAATTTTGAAATAATTGAAATTTATATTATTCCATATTTCCATTTATTTGAATTTTATATAAATTATTAAAATAAATAATTTTGCATCATATAATTTGTTTTTTTTTTATTTTAATAAATTATTTCAAATCTGCTAAGTTATTTTTTTTATTATTAAACACTTTTCATAATTTTTGGCAGGTGTTAATTGCAAAGAATTAAGTTCTTTGTTGCTTTCGATTTTCTTCTTTTCAATATTTCAATATTTTCTTCTCAAATATTTGTCCTCTTTTTCTCTTTCCACCATTCTCTCTCTCTTTCTCTTTCTCTCTCTTTCTCTCTCTCTCTTTCTCTTTGTTTATGTACACATTTTTATACATATAACTTATTATTTTCTTTGTAAACTTTTTTAGCACTCAACAACTTTAGCGTTATTTGGTTAGTTAGCTGGCTCTGCATTGTCACAGTAGCCAATTTTCACATGAGTTTTCTGATACATTGGATAAATCATTTTCATTAATTGTAGATAATTTCTCATATTAATACTCATTAGTTTCAGTTATTAACTTTGGCCACACCTGTAGCTGTCAAATTAATTTAACCATGCTGGGAAAATCAAATTAAATGCTATTATTACATTCTAATCACAAACAAATCATATTTTTTGACACAAATCCCTGTTGTTAACTTATCATTCTTTTGTGTTATTTCATTAGATTTCATTATTTCTTTGGGTTTCTGTTTTCACTTGTCTCATTTTTTATCATTCAGCCTATTATTTTTTCAACAAATTATGCTAATTTATTAGTTCGTTTTTATATCTTTTGTTCCTTATAATCTTATATCATTGTTAGAACTTAGATGTAGTTATTAAGCAAGATATTATTGCTTCTGATAGGTTTAATTTCATAGTGGACAAACTTTTTGCTGTGAGGACCTTGTTGAGATTTGTTTTACTTTTGAAGGGCCGCATATGTACTTAAATAGCAAATTTTTTGACCCATGGGTGAATTTTTTTAAGATTGGTGGCTCCTTTTTTGGTCATAATGTCTGTCTGACGTCCTTTTTTTTGGCGAACAAGGCCTCACGGACCCACAAAATAGCTGGTTTGGTTACATAGGATTCACATGATATTATTACAACATAATTATTTAAATGAATTTAAAAAATATAAATACTCAAAAATAAATAGAAAATAACTGTATATTTTTGTAATGCTTATCATACAGGACCCTGCAGGCATATTTGATTTGATTGAAGTCATTGGCAATGGAACATATGGACAAGTCTTCAAAGTATCTTATTTCTTTTCATTTCAAATTAAATTGCACATTTTCAAATTTTCTTAAACTTTTTTGAAGACCATTTTGATTTGGTTGGCTGTTAGTTAATTTGTCTACCATTTATTCATCTAGTTATAGGATGGTGTTGGTGATGTACTATTGTTTTTTAGCTCTTTTTAGCTCTTGATGGAAACGTTTTTAAGAAACAGTTTTATATGTATATAACATTTACCATCATATTTTGAAAGGGTTCTTCGTCATAATGAAACATTTTTCCAATTTTTTTCTATTGATTTTTTCCCCATGTGCTACTCATTGCTATTATTGATTAATAATGGGTTGGGTTGTTTTGATAAATACTGAATTCAAATAAGGAAGTAAATATTATTTATTTTAATTTATTCTCCTTATTCAATTTCATATTTTGATGCAATTTTGATTTTGATGATTTTTCAAATAAAGGTTCATGTTTTTAAATTGGAACACGTTTAAAAGATCTTCTTTGTTAGGTTATTTGATGAAAACCATACTTTAGGACTTGTATATCCTGTATCATTTAAATTTCATTTAAAATAAGAATAAATTAAAATAATTATTTATCTAATATACATTATATGCAATAATATAATCTTTATATGATCTTACATGATCTTTAAATGTTCTTACATAGTTTCATAGTAGTACAAAAGTTTTACGTGTTTTAAATTAGGTAAGCATACAAGTATATGCCCAGACACACAAACACACACACCACACACAGACAGACGCACACACATACACATAAACACACACACAGAGGTATGTGTGTTGAAGATCAGAGAATGATGAAACAGCAGAGTTATGTCTGAATTGCTGAATTACTCATTCGAACTTCTTTTTTTCTGCTTTTTTGCTCTCTTTTCTCACATCAGCATTTGTCATTGTTCTTCAAATCACTGCTATGTTAGCTGCTTTTTTTGTCTGTGCTGTTCTCTGGTGTGTGTATTTGAGTGTGTGTACATGTTAATATTTTTATGTTTCTGTCTACATGAAGAAATTCTGCTTATTATCAGGCTTAAAAATATTAACTAGGTTCACATTTGTTTGTTATTTAATTTTCATCATTTACTGTAGGAAGCTACGCTTATTTTACTTTTGTTATTTATTCATGTTGCATAAAATTTCGTTGTGACCACATGAAAATCAATTTTGCTTAGGAGGTCACTTGTAAATTTTTACCAGAGGCACATAAATTAACTTAATTTTTTTAAATGACCATTAACATTTTTTAATGTTTTTATTTTTAGGGTAGACACACCAGAACTGGACAACTGGCTGCTATCAAAGTTATGAAAATAAATGAGGTTCACTTATCTATTTTGTGTGTGTGTGTGTGTGTGTGTGTGTGTGTGTGTGTGTGTGTGTGTGTGTGTGTGTGTGTGTAAGTTTGCTGATATTGTAAGATTTATAATGTACATGATAATTAGCTAACAGTGAATTACTATTTCTTAGAAGAATTTTATTTTGGCTTTTCTGATATTTAAGAATGATGTCGTCTCCAAAGTAGAATTTATAAATAAAATCATATTTATTAAAAAAAATTCATTTTATATCACTTTCTCTATTCTATGCTGTTATTTTTATCTCCCCTTGTACTGCTTGATGGAATTAAGGATGAATGTGTGAATGGATAGATGAATGAAAGATTGAATGAATGGATGATGAATGAAAGATTGAATGAATGGATGATGAATGTAGTACTGAATGCATTGCCACAAATATCAATAAATATTTAATGCATCCACTGATATATTTATTGCACAATGAATGATTAATTGGTTGAACAAATTCATAAGAAAGAAAGTTTACTTATGTTGCTAAAAGTTTGATTGATTGTTGGTTCATACATGGATTGATAATGATTTCTGCAATCATTCATCTCTAGTATTGGGTGTTCATTTGGTTTGAAAGATTATTACTTACCTGTTTTTACTCATCTCAATCAAAAAACTTTATTCATTTTTCAATTAAACACTTTTTTTCATCTCTTCATTGAAAGGCTCTCTAGATCAAATAAAACTCTCTTCCTTACCATATAAATATGCCAGGAGGCTGTTTGGTTATTTGATAAGAGCAATTTTCATTTCTGTACTCATTTCAAACTAAGGAGTTGTTGTTATCAGGAGAGATCCAAATAACTTCCAACATCCAGGGCTTTACAGTGTTTTCTCAGTTATAAAATAATAATTTGTATTTAGAAAATTAGCTCATATACACACACAGAGACAGACATACACACATGCATGCGAACACATGTGTAGATTCGCTCATCATATGCACTCATGTCATGCTAGTAAATTAAGGCTAGATTAATTTTATTTCACAACTCATTCATCATTAACATAAATTTAATATTATGTATAATTATGATCAATACTTGTTCATTTATTTTGTTTTCTTAAGGAATATAATGAATTGAATTTCAAATTAATGCTTTTTTACACTCCAAAATGTTTCATGTTTTTAACAAACTTTTATTCTTGAATAATAATCTTGTATCATTTTCTTTATTATTTTATCCAATTCTCAAATTTTTAAATTTTTAAGTACAATAAATATGTATTTTTACAAGTTTATATGCAACTAATATGCTGCATGTTTATATAATTATGAACCTTACACTTACATTTATCGAAAGTGACTTGCTGTTTGTCTGGGTTAGTTTTATTTCATGTTTTATGGTTGCCTGTCACCCATACACTGGCAAACCACACACAAACACATACAAACACATACTTGATTATTACTATTCAATGATGAATATATGTTGAATTTTATTGGTACTGGCCTGGGAGTTATTAAATTTGCAGTTGGGTTGCTGTATGCTAAATGCTAATTGAAGGCTCAGACATGCATTTATCTTTCCTTTATTTTTCTATTTATTATCTATGTTTGTTTGCTGATTGTTTGGTTGTTGGGACTGATGTCTGTTGAAATCAGTTTGTGTTTTAATTGAAAAAAAAATAATTTTTTTGAAATTACATTTTAAAATATTGATTTTAATATAAATTAACAGGATGAAGAAAAAGAGTTAAAGTTAGAGATAAATGTTCTTAAAAAGGTAAAAGTTTGTTTTTTTACATTCTTGGTTTCAATTATTTTCATTAGCCACAAACTCATAAAACTTCTGCATGATCTGTACTAATAACATTGTGTGTTTATGTAATTGTGTGTGTGTGTGTGTGTGTGTGTGTGTGTGTGTGTGTGTGTGTGTGTAGGTGTGTGTAGGTGTGTGTAGGTGTAGGTGTGAGTGTTTATGAGTGAATGATTATGTTGTTATCCATTCATTCATTGAAATTATTTTTATTTTTGTACTTACATAAATTGGACTAGACAGTTATGTTGTTATGAGTTGTACATTAATAGATTGTGACTGTGCAATCTAGTAATCTACATTAATTCTTTTCTTATAAAATCACTCTATCTAGCTGATTAGCTTTTATTATCACAAATATTTGTGTGTGTTTGATATGTCATGCAAATCATTCATTACAGAGTATTCTAGTTCCAATTTAATGTTTGTTTCAGTACATTTTTTTATATTAATTTTTTTTTATTACGAACACCAAGCAACTTTTTCTTATGTAACACCACACACACAAACACACACATCGCATACACACACACTTTAAAAATGATTTTACATATTTTGATTAATATCTTCTGTTTGTTGCTATAATTTTTCTGATTAAATTTCTTTCTTGATGTTGTTTGTTCTATAATATTTTTTACAAATCAAAAATGTTTTTGAATCAATATCATCTCTCTCATCATTAAAAAAATGTCATTTCATAGCCCCAAGGTTGTGAAGGCCTATATAATTATTTTCATACTCAAGGCTAATGTTTTCATTATGTAATGCTATATTTCAAATAATTTTTCATATATAAATAAACACATGTGTTGCTCTTGGGTGAAATTATTAACATGATGTTTCTTAATAACACTTTTCACATCAGGTTCATGGTCATTTAATTCTGCTACTTTACAGCAGCTGTTGTGTTCGTTTTCTTGCAAGCCACATTTGATAAAATCATTGGAAAGTTAATTCAACATTCAAGTCACATAAATTTAATTCGCATAAATTTAATTCGCATTCCACATCTAGGCATTTTTAAATTAAACGTGATTAATTCCAAAAATAAATGGTCGATTATAAATTACCATTAATTCCTTTTAGTTAACTTGGTAGCATAAAACTTGGGCTACTGGCTAATGAATGAGGTTAATAAATTAATTTTATGTCTGTTGCAAGATAGTGTAACAATGAAGCAGACCAAACCAAGCCAACAGAAATCATCATAAATAAGCTACTTTGTCTGCTATTTAAATATTGGTTAGTTAGGTCATTACTGTTATTTATGGAAGATGCATTGTCATGTTAGTTAGGCTCGGGAACATTCAACATGCCACTGTAGTTTTTATTAAATAACATTACCATTAAATATATTATTATATGTACTAATGTTGTTTTATTGTATCTAAATGTTCAAATAATGCAACCAAAATTGATCAATGATAAATAGATTAAGAATATGGGGCCTCTTGGTTATGTAGCTAAATGGTTTCAAGAAGTTTATAGTTACTGGTTGCATTATTATTTTTTTCGATATTATTTTGTTCATTCAGTTTTTAATTTGTATATATCCTTAGTTAACCTATCTTAGCATCATCACATATGTACGGTCTGTTCATTGGCTATGCCGTTATGCCCATGATACATCATAGCGCTGTTATCTTTTGTATTACTTCTTAGTCAACTTAAGCACATGGTATTTGATTTGCTGTAAGTGTTTTATTGAATTTTGCTTTTTTATTTTTTTTTCACCCTTTTGCTATCACTAGATCAAATTCTAATGTTGTTTACAAACAAATGACGTCTACTTGATGTTACCTCGCATTGTTTTTGATTGTTAAATTAATCAGCAGTATTCTCACGTTTCATTTTACTCCACATGCACAAAAATTTTCTTCATTAGTCACTTTTGTATATAATTACATCTATGGATCATAGGACATCCTGATTATTTACTGTGTAGAGTATAGGCACATATGTAAAGATCTATATAATGTAGTTGTCATTAGCTTAGCAGTTAAGCATCACCGTGATGCATAGACAATTGAACTGCAGCCAAAGACTCATTAATTATGTTGACACATCAAAGTAAGGGCACTTGTAATGTAAATACAAACACATGCCTCGTAACAATAGAACACTCTCACAATCACCAAAACATGCTTTAGATTCCTCTGTTCTTATTCAGATAATTCACAATAATATCCTCTTATCAACTTCTTTAATTATTTTTAAAAGGTTTGCGAAAATGAAGAATGCTTGAAAAATATGACAATCACAAGATGAATTTGTGGCATCATATACCTAATTATTTTTCACAATTGAAGTTCTTGAGGCATAAATATTAGAGCTAAACAAACAATCAAACCTAACAATTTGCAATGCAATATAAACAAATGCAACACTCCACAATACCATTGAACAAAGAAGCCCCTCCATATAAGCTTATCAACATCTCTTTTCTTTTCTCCCTCATTGTTTTTATTTCTCTCTTCCTTTTCTCTATTCTAATTCTGGTCTAATGGCTTGCAGTTTGACTTTGGTAATGTTTCTATAAAGTCTATTGTCACTCATTTCATTAGCTGCAGTGTATAGTTCTATAAATAAACTGCTAAAAATGCTGATGATAGATTTCTGTAAAATTCTTAGTAGATAATTTTTATGCACTTTTATTTTATTGTAAATTCGGTTTTTTTTATTATTTTTAAATTTGAAATTCAATATTTTTATGGATATTTTAAATATTCAATTAATATTAATAAAATTAACTTCAAATTTTAAATATTATTAATAGGAGTTCTTAAGCAGAAAAGAATGGTAGATTGCATTTCATTCATAAATCTGCTTGAAGAATTTACATAGAAAGATTGAATTAGGCTTTGTAAATAAATTACCTTTTTTTTATTTTTCACTATTTCATATATTTTTTTAAAATTTCCATTAACATCATAGTCAGTGTGATTATTTTTATTACTTTAGAAATAAAAATTTAAATAACCTATAGTAAAATCAGATTTTAAATTTAAGATCATCATTCAACATTAAACTATTAATAATTTCACATCACATAGAGTAAGCGCGCGTGTGAATGTGTTTGTGTGTATGCGTGTATGGTTGTGTGTGTTTGTGTGAAACACTGATTTTCATAATCTCCAAACATCACTCGCCAGCTTCATCATTGTTATGTATGTTTTTAATTAAATGTTTCTAAAAGTAATTAGTATTTTTAAGTAATAGGATACTGGGAGCTATGTTTATTTACATACTAATAAACAAATGCTCACAAAACTTTTACAGAGTTTTCAATTA